ATCAGGGACAACATCCTTTTTGCTCAGTGTTTAGACCTGAGAAATGTGGGGCGGTGAGGAGGAAGATTCTTCATTCTTTCCAAATAAACTACAGAGCACTCGGGCCACTTAAAAAGATTCTAAAATGTAAATCAGGGATGAGCAGCCTGTGATGCTTCAGAAGAGGGGGATTTAGGGCAACACAAGCGGTCCAGGCATTCTGGTTGAGCATCCGAAGAGGGCGCTGTCTCAGAGCCTGGTAAGCTCTTGTCAGGCTTTGGGACTAACAGTAATAATAAATAATAATAATAATTTATTTATACCCTGCCCATCTGGCTGGGTTTTCCCAGCCACTCTGGGCGACTCCCAACAGAATATTAAAAACATGATAAAAGATCAAACATTAAAAACTTCCCTAAACAGGGCTGCCGTCAGATGTCTTCTAAAAGTCAGATAGTTGTTTATTTCCTTGACATCTGATGAGAGGACTTCCTCCAGGGCAGGGACCACTACCGAGAAGGCCCTCTGTCTGGTTCCCTGTAACCTCGCTTCTCACAGGGAGGGAACTGCCAGAAGGCCAAGGCATGAGGGGTCTGGCAGGATCCTAGAGTCCTCTTCCCTCTTTTCCAAAGCTGGGCAAGCACTTACCATGCTTTGGGAAGAAGGGAGGGCTCTAGGACCCTGCTAGAGCCTTGCACCTTTCCCCCCAAGAGTGATGTGTTGTTTATCCATCTTAAGCTGGTGCTGCAGAGGGCTGCTGGGAGGGCTTCAAATGTTGTCCTTTCACAAAGTGGCATATTACCAAGGTCCACCCTTGCCTTCGGATGTTGAACCATCCCCTCCCATTTGCCCCTGCCAGCACCGCAAATGGATAGGGACAGTGAGAGATGTAGTCCACCAACATTTGGAGGGCCACAGGTCCCCTATCCCTGATGCAACTCACTGATCCAAAGACGATCAGATAGTTTAATGGTAGATCAATTGCATAACACTTGTCTTATGAACCTTAATACAGGAACTCAGTTATGCAGTGTAGTGGTTAGTGCAGGGGTCAGCAAACTTACTGCGCCTCGGGCCAGTGTCTCCACTGCCGATTGAGCGGGGGAGGGCGCGGGAGCGCGTGCCATATGTGTGCGCACACACTATTTCTGGCGCACTTCCAGGTCGGAGGAGCACCGGAAATAGCTTGTGCGCATGTGCACGGGCCTCCTCCGATCCAGATGTGCACCGGAAATAACGCTTGCGCATGCGCTCAACACTTGCACATGAGCACAAGCTACTTCCAGTGCTCCTCTGACCCGGAAGTGGGCAGCTGTGCAGCACAGCACAGGTAAGAGCGGGCAACAGCAGTGGGCGGCTGGGTTGCCATGGGCCAGATAAACGAGTCCCTCGGGCCTTATCCAGCCCGCGGACCTTAGTTTGGGGACCCCTGGGTTAGTGTGTCAGACTATGACCTGGCAGATGCAGCTCCCCAGCCATGTAATGCTGCTCCAGGTTTTTTTTTGGGGGGGGGGAGGTAAAGGTTCAGGAGTGGGCAAGAAGAGATCATGGACCCTGGCTGGGAAGGTGAGCTCTGGTCTCCTTGGTCCTAGTCCAGCACCTGTTTTATCCTCTACCCGTTACTCAGAGAGTTCCCTCTGAGCTATACAGGTGGGACCTGCAGCAAAATGTTGCAGTACAGAGTATACTTGCTCAGGGTTCCCACCATCCACAACCTGCTGTCAAGACATTCCATTCCATTCCACATCCCTCAAGCTTTCTTCCCCCTGCGAAACTCTGTATTTTGTTCTCATGAAACACGCTCACTAATCAATGGTCAGATCTGAAGTCCCCTCCATGCTTTTTTGTTTGTATTTCAGAAACATTGGGATCCAGTTTACTAAGCGAATGCTTCCCTCTTGTTTTTCAGTGACCCTGCTTCGTCTACAGCACTGTCAGTACTCAGCAGCTGAGTTTGTTCTTAGAGGGAGTGGGGAGAGAGAAGGGTAAAGTTCCGGAGACTGAACCATCCCTGTATAACACAGAAGTTTCATTTTAAAACTACATGACACATAAACCCTCTGCCCCAATTTCTCTCTCCAAGGTACTAACGATAAGCTGCCAGAGGCTTGAGCAAATCGATTTCCTCTTTTCCATTTCCCTTTCTTGTTTTCATTTTCATCTTTCTCCCACATATTTGTGTCACAAACATTTGATTCACGCACAGCCTCTCCAATTTCTGGTTTCTTTGAAGCAAGGCTTCCCAAACTTGTCTGGTCGTGGGCACATTTGGAAATGGGAAAGAAGCGTTTTTGCAGACATGGGGGGGGGACCCCTTCCAACTCTTCAGTTCTATGATTCACAATGGCAACCTCCCTCGCCACACATGTTATACAGTGGTACCTTGGGTTACATATGCTTCAGGTTACATACACTTCAGGTTACAGACTCCGCTAATCCAGAAATAGTACCTCAGGTTAAGAACTTTGCTTCAGGATGAGAACAGAAATCGTGCCGTGGCGGCATGAGGCCCCATTAGCTAAAGTGGTGATTCAGGTTAAGAACAGTTTCAGGTTAAGAACTGACCTCCAGAACGAATTAAGTACTTAACACGAGGTACCACTGTAGTTTCCATTGTCATCAGCTTCCTTTAAGCTCAGAAGTTTTTGGTCAGCTGGTTTTGGGAATTTAAACAAATCTTTTTGTTATTTTAATTTACAAACAACGGCATCTCCCTAGAGAATGTAGGAATAGATATACCTAAATTTCTGCGGCCCTTGTTTTACTACCCAACTGTTAGTCCAGTCAGTGGAGCATGAGACTCTATCTCAGGGTGTTGGGTTCAAGCTCCCCTTTGGGGGAAAAGATTCATGCATTGCAGAGGGTTGGACTACATGGCCCTTGCGGTCCCTTCTAACTCTACAATTCTATGATCCTGACTTAATTCAGCTGCTTGAATGCCTATTCGTGGACTGATAATACCGTATTGGCCTGAATATAAGCCTCCCCCCCCAAATTCTGACTGCGAAAAGTTGAAGTACAGCTTAAATTTGCGACCTTGCGAAAATTGGGTTTTATGATATTGCTGCTGAAATAGACATATGGTGAAACGGAACGGGTGTGCCTGCAGAATTTTAAGGGAGCAGCTTATATTCGGGTATTGTCTCCCCCCCCCCCAAATTTTAAAGGTGTGACTTATATTCAGGTGCGACTTATATTCAGGCCAATATGGTAGTTTTAACAGAGGGCTGTAACTTGGCAGAACCTTTGCTTTTTTTACTACATGGCTCCCTCTGCTGACAGAAACAGGAATGATATTCATTCCTGGGGACAACTGGAGATTTATAAACTCTCTGGGGTATATCTTCAATTCAAAAGTGTTTTTTTAATGTTAAGGTGATAGTACTGCTGCTCTTGAGAAAGCCCAACCTGTGTCTAGAGGTTCTGAAAACGGCTTCCACGTCAGAAATACGCCTTTTGGGTTTGTGCTTCTATCACCATCTCGAGTAAGTTTAGCCACTCTTGAAGGACACAGATTATCTGGACCTTTTCCAACCCGGCTTCAGATCCGAGTTTGGCACAAAGCCAGTCTTTGTTGTTCTTGTGGATGACCTTTAGCGGGACAGCAAAAAGGGGGAAGGCAATCCCAGCGCTCTTTCTCAGCCTCTCATCTGCTTTTGATACCATCAAACATGGTTTTTCTCTGGGTTATATGCATGAGTTGGGGGGGGGGAAATATGTGTGTACTATCTTGCATCAATTTTACATTTACTTGCAGGGTAAACCTTCTCTGTCTGCTAGCACAAGGGCCATTGCGTCTTATACATGGGGACGTCTTATACACAGAAAAGTACGGTAGGTAGGAACAAAACACTGGGTTTTATCCATGTGACACTCCAACAGGAAACTTACCCCCAAAATCAATTTCTCCAGTCTTTTGGGTAGAGAAATAAAGCAGGAAGACAGAGTTGTGATTTCATTCGCAGGTAAGGAAGCAATGTGCCTCTCTTTCCAGGTCTGGAGTGTTCAGGTATCCTATTCCTCAGTAATGGAGAATGTCTTTCTATTAAAGAGAGGTGATGTACCAAGTGCCAACACAACTCAGAAGAGAACTATGACTGGAAATTCTGGCTACGTACAACCCCAGAAAAGTGCAAGATTTCATGCTCCATGCTGATCCCTCACTGCTGATACTAGAAAAATGTTGTATGTCTACATGTGCTTTTTAAAAGCAGTATTAGTAGAGACATCACCTTACCAACAAAGGTCCGTATAGTAAAAGCTATGGTTTTCCCAGTAGCGATGTATGGGAGTGAGAGCTGTACCATAAAGAAGGCTGATCGCCAAAGACTTGATGCTTTTGAATTATGGTGCTGGAGGAGACTCTTGAGAGTCCCATGGACTGCAAGAAGATCAAACGTATCCATTCTTAAGGAAATCAGCCCTGAGTGCTCACTGGAAGGACAGATTGTGAAGCTGAGGCTCCAATACTTTGGCCACCTCATGAGAAGAGAAGACTCCCTGGAAAAGACCCTGATGTTGGGAAAGATGGAGGGCACAAGGAGAAGGGGAAGACAGAGGATGAGATGGTGGGACAGTGTTCTCGAAGCTACGAACATGAGTTTGACCAAACTGCGGGAGGCAGTGGAAGACAGGAGTGCCTGGCGTGCTCTGGTCCATGGGGTCACGGAGAGTCGGAAACGACTAAACAACTAAACAACAACAAAATATCAACCAGTTCTTGCATCTCTCTGTTAGAAGTTACCACAAATTTCCACAGACCCGTAATTCAAGAATAAAGGGAAATTCTGAACCAAGCTCTAGTGCTTTGTAACTTACAAGTTCAGTTTGTTTTTAGAAACACAGTGATGGTACCTTGAACCCACAGACATCCTATCAAAGGTATTTACATCCTTACCTTCTGAAAGTACAGGCATTCTTGCTTTGTGCCAGGTGTGAGGGATGATGGAGCATAAATAACTGTGAAGATCATTTCTATGTCCAGGGAGACACCACCGAGTAAGAAACACATTTCTGAAAACTCACATGTTTGTTTGTTTTTATTTGGACTGACACATTCATTGTATGCCACAACTTTCACTGATCAATGAGGTTTTTAAAAAAAGAACTTTTAAAAAGCCGGACCTTGCCAGCAGCGTAATGGGGCTTATATAGTCACATTTTGATGAGGCATTAAAAAGGCTTACTCCCCTGGTCCATAACTTTCCCCTCCCCACCTCCCACCCCCTTCTCACAGCTTTGATTGTATTTGATAAAAGCATGGTATGGCAAAATGCATCCCAGCAGTTGAGTTACTTTCACTGCCACATAAAGAGGCGAACTAAATTTGTTTAAAAATGCCAGGGATTCCTTTAATGTAAAAAAATAAAATAAAATAACCAAAACCAAAAAAAAAAATTGATATGGCAACACTACTAGTAAAGTGGGATACATCACAGAAACAGAAGTTTTTGCAGGCAACACTGGTTGGAAACAGTAAAAAACACTTGATGGGTGAAAAAAGTGAAATGCTAAATTATATACAAGAGGAGCAAAGGGTGGCACTGAAAAACAGTCTCAAGTGACTCCAAGTTTAAACTTGCCATTATCTATTGCTTATTTATTACATAACTGTAATAACACTTATAGAGACAAGATGTGTAAAAATGAGACATTGTGGAAAACAGCTTTTTCATATGAAACGCAAAGTGTACGTTTGTCCAACGTGGAATGTACCAACAGTCATTGTATTTACAGGCTCCCTTTCAGAGTCTTCTCTTTACAAAACCAGCTAACTGGCCCAAGGCAAGTAAGCTGTATATTTTACTGACTTGGGATACGCATTTTGTAAAATCATTCGCAAGTGTCTTTTTTTTGTTCAAGTTCATTCAGGAAGGCTTATTTCGCCCAGTCCTGTACTGCAAGATTCTGTAAGACGCCCCAATGCCACAGAAGAGTCAAACCTGCAATCCTTATGAAGGACGAAATTCAGTTGTTAAATTTCAAGGGGTATCCAATGGCTTTTTCCAGACACTCTACCAAAGAGCCAGCAGAAAGGAAGTCCCTCTCTACTTCTACAAATTTGATGTAGATGGACTTGGGAGAAATTCCCGGGTCTACAATACAGTTTTGAGATAAAAAGCCATTGATTCCAACCCACTCTTTGCTGAAGGTTTTGGTGTTTGCTTGAAAATGTAAGAACAAGCACTGCTGAAGAGTTCTGACCTCGGCAATACCAAGGTAACAATATATTATTCGGGTGGATTCCATCTCGACTTTGAGCGACGCTTGTGACAGGGGCATATCTGCTTCCCCCAGTGTCTCATTTTCAGGGTCTTGGCTGACGCCCTCATGATCAGGAGACTGTAGTTTCTCATGACAATCTTCATAACCAATGGCATACAGACCAGGACTCTTGGGAATACCCCCAGGTAATAAATACTGCACAATATTTCCACCTGTTGGCTTAGAGTGAGCAATAGGAATCCAGTCAATCTCCATGTGAAGCTCTAGGCACCTGGCTTCGCTAATAGTGATCTCTAGGAATTTGTAGTAAACGTTCTTCCAGTTCATTTTCTGTACCCTGGTCATTATGATCCTGCCCTCTGGTTTCTCCGAGTTGAAATATTCCCGGAGCCGCTTGCCAAGGGGGACTTGGGAACTAATCTCCGCGTAGTGGTAGCGGATATCCTCCTTCCACCGTGTGTTGTAGCCAATGCCAAAAATGGCCAGTTTGTTAGAAAGATGCAGCCTAGAGAAGTCTGTCCAGCTCTGAAATAATTCCCATTTTAACTGGACGGATTCCAAGATCTGTACAATATTCTGCATCATATCACGCTTCCTTAAAGAAAAAGAAAAAAACAAAGTGTAAGGTTTAAGGCAGGCAATCAAGGGGTTTAGAATAAGGTTACCAGACATCCCCGTTTCCCAGGGACAGTCCCTGGATTTACAAATCAGTCCCCATACAAAATCCATTGAAGTTGAAAAGTGTCCCTGGATTCATTGAAAAAAATCTGGTAACCTTAGTTTAGAAGAGCACAAGAAGAGGTATAAGTTTTAAACACCAACTTTCATATGCAAGAACATGGGTAGGCAAACTAAGGCCCGGGGGCCGGGTGTGGCCCAATCGCCTTTTAAATCCGGCCCGCGGACGGTCCGGGAATCAGCATGTTTTTACATGAGTAGAATGTGTCCTTTTATTTAAAATGCATCTCTGGATTATTTGTGGGGCATAGGGATTTGTTCTTCTTTTTTCAAAATATAGTCCGGCCCCCCACAAGGTCTGAGGGACAGTGGACCGGCTCCCTGCTAAAAAAGTTTGACCCCTTTGCAAGAACATCTGGCACTGGAAACACATATAGTAGCTACAGAAATTAAAAATGTTGCCCTGGATCTTTTTGAATATAATTTCATATAACTAACCTGACCGGCTTCCTCCAAAGGCATTTTCTGGTCAGTAAAGCTTATACACTGTGGAGAACTGTGGTGGTGCCTTAATCACCACAATAATTCTAAATGCACCATTTAAAATGGTCCTAGTGTTATCTAGCATAATTCAAAGAAAGCTCAGAGGCAGGGCATGCAGAAAGTCCCAGGTTTGATCTCTAGATAGCTCAGTTGGTAGAGCCTGAGACTCTTCATCTCATCGTCATGGGTTTGAGTCCCACATAGTGATCTAACATCTTTCCAAAAGTTTGTTACAAGTACAATTATCTTGGCTTATTCAGCAGCTTAACCTGTCTTTGCCAAATTATTTCAAAGGTGTACTGAGACCTAACTAGTAGTTACCCTCTTTGGTGTGGGGAGACCTCTAACTGGTGTACTACTGATTTAAATGGCTGTGCGCTGCCTGATAAACCCACCCATATGAATACTACTGTGTCTGGCAAGCATTCCAGGGCATGAAAACAGGAATTTCCAAGTAGCTGCATTCAACACAGTCAATCACACACGATGACACAATCCTACAAACTGCTACTTAGATAATAAAGGTGGTCCAGAGTCACCCTGGAAAAACAGGGTTGCACATGTCATCTTCCTAGGGAACAAGCAGATTTTGGAAGCCAGGACGGTGCACAACACAAAAATATGCTCTTCTCATAATCTCTTTTTAATATTTCCAGAAAATTATTCCTTCCAAGCAAGACTTTGCAGTAGCGTGGGTTACTAGACTTGTATTAACTGTACTGGCCGCCAGTTTACTTCCAGGTGCAATTCAAGTGCTGGCTATTAATGGATGAGACCAGAATACCTAAAGGATCTTCTCTTATTGTACAATCCTGCCTGCCCAATGAAGTTATCTGGATAATCCTGCTTGTGTGTCGCTCTCCCATTTGAAGGTCTATTGCTGCGACTACATGAAACCTCTCCCAGTTGTGAGCACTCAGCTTTCAAAAATTCCCTGCCTCAGAAGATATGATTGGCCCAAATGACATTCTATTTCTACCCGAATGGATTTTGTGTGTCAGAAAGAGAGAGAGAGGGGGGTGGCGGTGTACAACAGAGAAAGAGAAATCAGGCTTTTAACCTGGATGTTAGTCGATTCTGCTGCTTCCCTCCTTCTGTCAAATTTTATCTGTAGCGTGTTTGCTTTTATTCTAATAAAATGTATAATAGCTTGCAGGATCAGGCCAATGGCCCATCCAGTATCGTGTTCTCACAGTTACCAACCAAATAACTGTTATAACTATATTTTTAATGTGGGTTAGCTACTCTGAGTGGCTCAAATTTTGAACTGGACAGGATAAGAGTATCATTGGCAAACAAGTAATTTGGTGAATGTCAACTTGACTCTCCATCATCTACCTGAACTTGAGAAATAAAATGGGGTGGGAAATAAAAATTTAAAGTAAGAACATTACATAGACCAGTGTCTGGATTTCAGTGGGCAATATACACGCGGCTGATGGCTGTATGTGTTACAGAGGTTAAAGACCCATTTTATACAAACGAGTTCTGCACAGAGAAAGCTTGAAGAACTTTATAGTTATTGTCTGAAGTTTTAGATGCCCTCATTCTAAAATCAACTACTGTCAGAGATTCCCAGGTAGGACACTCATAAATTACTCACTGGGATTCTTCAGAAGATTCCTGTTTTATCTTCAATGATTTCTTCATAGCAGGCATTTCATCTGAAAGATTGGGTTACAAATAATTGTTAAAAACAAAAACTTGCTACTTTTTAAATTTAAACGTCCTGACATATATTTAAATAGCACTTAAAAGTGCAATAAAAGTTAGATTTATTCAGCATTATGTACAGATTAGAGAATCACACTCTTCTTAAGAATAATACAGTGGTGCCTCGCAAGACGAAATTAATCCGTTCCGCGAGAGTCTTCGTCTAGCGGTTTTCTCGTCTTGCGAAGCAACCCTATTAGCGGCTTAACGGATTAGCGCTATTAGCGGTTTAGCGGCTATTAAAGGCTTAAAGGCTTAGCGGATTAGCTGCTAAAAGGCTATTAAAGGCTATTAAAGGCTTAGCAGGTTAGATAAAGGGGGCGAAGCGAAAAAAAATCTCAAGACTTGCAAGACATTTTCGTCTTGCGAAGCAAGCCCATAGGGAAATTCATCCTGCGAAGCAACTCAAAAACGGAAAACCCTTTCGTCTAGCGGGTTTTCCGTCTTGCGAGGCATTCGTCTTGCGGGGCACCACTGTACCAAGAATCAAGCCAGAAGGTCACTTTATTGAATATTTACATAAGGCAATTCTGCCCTGCTTATATTTGAAGATTGCATATAACAAACCTTTGCATCTGATTTAGATTTCCTGTGTACCACCAATTCTTATTTCAAGTAACATCAAACAGAAAAAACATTTCTGTAAAAACACCCACGTGCATCCATAACTATAAGGAAAATAACAATCAGCAAAACATAGGGAAACTTGCAATATCTAAATGCACTGTTTGAAACTCTCAAATGCTGCAGCTTTTGTTTCTCATGTGTGAGCTATTTTCTAGAAACGGGGGTGGGGGAGTGTTCCTGAGAGCTTGTGGGTGCAGTGGCCAGTAGGGAAGCAAGTGTTAAGCCAGGCTTCCTCAAACTCAGCCCTTTAGATGTTTTTGGCCTACAACTCCCACGATCCCTAGCTAGCAGGACCAGTGGTCAGGGATGATGGGAATTGTAGTCTCAAAACACCTGGAGGGCCGAGTTTGAGGAAGCCTGTGTTAAGCCTACACAGGCAGAGAGAGGGAGACAGAATGAACCAAACTGGCCAAGGAAGTACAGCAGTCCTCCTCTGTGCATTCCATTTTCCTTATTTATAATGAGATGATTTAAACCTCTTCATCAAGATACACAATGGCAACAAGCAGCATATATGGCAGCAGCAGAATTATAGTTAGCAATGACGAAGACTAGTATTTCATACCTAACTCTTGGTCTCCTGACTGGTAGCAATGAAGGTCCTGACTGTGGTTCCCCCATTCGTCCTGCGAATATTCCTCCATAGTGCTGCCGTCTGACTCCAACTCTTGGTATAGGCCACTGCTATTGATAAGCACAGGCTGGCAGGGTTGAGAGTCCCATCCTCCTTGACCAAACACCTGCTCCAGCTGTTCAAAGGTGTAACTGCTTTTCCTTTTCCCAACGCCATGCTCTTTTACTCGGCTGTAGCACCTGCGAAGAGTCTGAAAGACAGAAGGCACCTGGTCAGTGTAAACTAGCTTACCAAGACTTCTAAATAAGCTACACAATTTTATTTAATCTCTAACTTTGGCTGAGCAAAGCTCTACCATATATATTTTACTATTTTTAACTAAAGCAGGATGCTACCAAGTAGCTTTAAAGCCAGGTTGAACTCTTGCAGCCATTTAAAGTTTCCAGCATACAGCACTTTCATTTGTATATTTGCCTCAAGAGCACAGCGCATCTAAGTGATCATCGTTTTAAGACATCAGTTTTTACTGGTTCTTGTCTACTACCAAGGGCTTTCCCTTCTTAGCCCCCAATCTTGCTGTATTATGCAGAACTAAATCCCAGTAAGATACCAACAAGCCCATAAGATGTACACCTTTACAAAGGGAGGAGAAAGAACAGCTACTGTTGTGCCCATAGTTTGGAGAAGATTAAGGGAAGGGAGAGAGAAAGAGAGAGAAACAGGAGTCACCAAAAGCAGACAGTTGGATCATCCCTTACTCCAAAAAGAAAACATTTAAGAAGTTTAAAAAAATTGTTGGCCTAAACTCTTTAGCTAGTAAAATATATTACTTACATATTTTGCATCCTTACTAACTCACTCTGTCTCTTGGGAAGCTGCTGAAATTTAAAAGAGGTGAAATCAATAATACTCTGAACTCCCACGCTCAAATATCATAACACACAGTACTACGATGGTCAGGTCTAATAATAAAACATTAAACCCAACAGTCTGCCCTAGATTCTGAAGCATCTTATACACCAAGCTTCACTCAGGTTTTGGCCTCTTTCATTCTTACACTTTGGCTGCAAGCAGTATGCATTACACAGCAGCAGCAAGCATAAAGCTTTACAAATACTTCCTTCTGGGTCTTCCTTCCTGATTTCCAGCTGCATACAACACCTGTTCTTTGGAAAACCTTAAATCTGTACCTATTAACATAGTCTGATGTAAAGAGCGGGCTATAGGCAGAAAACTGACCACACACCGCATCACAGGGCACCCTGTTTGCAAGAGCAAGTATGCTCCATTGACAGAAAAAATAAAACAGGAAGGGCAAAAGCTGTAAGGATTTGAAGAAATTCAGTAACTCAAGCACCGTAATACACTCTTGTCTCCCAACCACTTTGGATTTTTATTCTTATAAAGTGTCACTTTGCCAGCTTCTCCTATCGCCCCAGTGACAATGCTGATGCTCATTTCTTAATCATGCAGAGAAGAGTTAATCAGTGCCCTAATGCATATTTGGAATCCCAGGAGCTGAAATCATGTTATTTTGCTGCTTAAGGCAGGGCAGCAACTTGCGCTCCCCCTCCCATCTCAAGGGATAGAGTACCCAAGGACACTTAATATAGAAAATCCCACAAGCACCTCCTCCTCCTCCTCGGAAGTAAAAATGCAACTAACAATATATTGCCCTTTGATGACACACAAAATGAGCTGCTTAACACACCATACTGGTCCTAAGAATCGTAAGTTTCATAATGTTAATTTCATACTGCTAACTTTGGAGATGTAAAGACAGGGAGAAAAAGACAGGGAGAACATTTTCTCTTTCTTTTAGAAAGGAAAAAGGCTAAATATATTTGAAGTGTTTCTAGCCTTCTGTTTAGTGCTTTTGCACACTTTTCTGATATTTTCCAGCAAGTTTCACAATCCGCTTACAGGTGTGGGGGAATGCTTTCAATACTTAATCCCACTGGGAAGTCAACAGAACTAAACCCACCAAAATCCCTATACTGTTGCTTAACTGTGTGACAATGAGTTGATTCTCTAGCTAAGCAGCAGAGTATTATAGGAGACACTAATATGAGTTCATTAGAGATAATAAACGCTTTTATTAAATGTCAAGCTAAAACAAACAGTTCATCTAGCACAATTAGCCAAGAAGTCTTAATTTGATCTACTGAGGTCTTTTGGGAGTCCTAGCATTCACAAACACTACTTCAAATATTTGGGGCTCAATTTAGCATTTCCAGGTATTTTCTCGCTGCTTGTTTCAATACCAACAAAGAATCCTGACTAGCAGCAATCCTACTGAGCATTCAGAACTATTTTAACACAGCCTACCTACTAAAATCCAGGGAAACAGGTACACTACTGGTGTGTGCACCATGTGAGCACAAAAGCACAAGTCAGAATTAAGTGCCCCCCCAGCTTATTCTACCCTTTGCTGCCTCCTACCCTACCCTACCCTACCCTACCAGCTGTTTCACCTTCAAAATCGATTCACCTAGACAAAAGCACAAATAGAAAGTTGCAACTCATTTGAGCAACCATGTTTGATGCCAGTTTGGTTCAGTTCAATTCCTACTAGAATATTCATGTGATCTTTTGCTTCCTCAGAAATAATTACGTTCTAGAAAGTGAATCTGCATATGCTCCGCAAGACAGACCAAAATGAAATCACATGTCCTGAAACACTCTTGCTGTATGCAGACAAGCCCCAAGTACCCAATTTGTGTACCTCAGTACCACTAGTTCCTTTGAAAATGAATCCCTTTCATTATTCCGGGCAAAAGGAGGAAAGTTATATCCAGAAAAACAAATGATGATAATAAATCAGGTATTAGATAATGAGATTAACTTGGCAAACCGTTATATAAAGTAACTAAGCGGTGTATTTTCATATTACAGACATTTCAAAGGCTCATCAGAGAAGTTGCCCAAGATCTAGATTAATGCTGCTCACTCATTAAATAGCTGAATAGGTAATAGCGGTCCAATATATACTTCATGATTCCAGTAGATGCTGCTTTATTCAAAAGGAGAAAGATGATCAAATTAACACATTAAGGACAAACTTGTTTTCACTTCCAGTGTAGCCCAGGCCAGTAAATTTCTGCTACAAGTTATGAAGCATGTTGCTTGATTTAAACATATTTTGACTTTGAGAATGAAACTGATCAAGAGCTTTTAAAACAAAGTTGAACCTTATTATTCATCCAAGCTTGTCCATCTTTAGCTCCTTTCAATGGTGTCATGCCATTTTCTATTTTAAAAAAGAGTTCTTTAGAATTTTAAAGTCCTTCCTTTCCCAAATATTTATACAGTACATGCATGCTAATCAAGTCTTTCTTTCTTTATTTTTAAAAAGAAATGTCAGCTCATTAACTGCTGACTTGCTCTGCAGAATCAATTTGTTTCTGTAGAACTTTTTAGCACTTTCTTTATGAAGAGCAGAGGCATAAATGTACCATGTAAAACCATTTCACTGATCTAACTCATTAGCTTTCTATGTCTTTCATTAAAAAATGAAGCATTGATCACCAGAAACTTAGAACTTTTCAGTTACATTATAATTATTTCAAATCTGCATACATTAGGAATAGTTTAATAGCCCCATTTGATGCTCTTGTTGAAATTGTTTAGAACAGTTGGGTGCCATCTCAAACAATGGCTGAAGATCTACTCAACAAAGCCTGTAGACAGACACCGATCTGCAGTGCAATCCTATGCATGTCTTCTCAGAAGTAAGTTTCATCAAGTACAATAGTATTTATACTCAGATAAGTGCTTTTGTCCATCGAGTTTTCTTGGCAGGGATACTGTAGTGGCTTGCCGGTTCCTGCTCCAGGTTTGGTTAAAACTCTCCACTATGACCTGTCCGCCTTGGGTGGCCCTGCACGGCATAGCAACAAGGCAGATAGTGACAGCAGTCACAAAATTAAAAGATGCCTGCTTCTTGGGAGAAAAGCAATGACAAACCCAGACAGCATCTTAAAAAACAGAGACATCACCTTGCCGACAAAGGTCCGTATAGTTAAAGCTATGGTTTTCCCCATAGTGATGTATGGAAGTGAGAGCTGGACCATAAAGAAGGCTGATGGCCGAAGAATTGATGCTTTTGAATTATGGTGCTGGAGGAGACTCTTGAGAGTCCCATGGACTGCAAGAAGATCAAACCTATCCATTCTTAAGGAAATCAGCCCTGAGTGCTCACTGGAAGGACAGATCCTGAAGCTGAGGTTCCAATACTTTGGCCACCTCATGAGAAGAGAAGACTCCCTGGAAAAGACCCTGATGTTGGGAAAGATGGAGGGCACAAGGAGAAGGGGACAACGGAGGACGAGATGGTTGGACAGTGTTCTCGAAGCTATGAACACGAGTTTGACCAAGCTGCGGTGGAAGGCAGTGGAAGATAGGAGTGCCTGGCGTGCTCTGGTCCATGGGGTCACGAAGAGTCAGACACGACTAAACGACTAAACAACAACAAGAAGAAGTTGCTTTTAGGATTGCAGCCTTAAAACTCATAATAGACAAGTAAAAGGAAGTATAACTGCTCATATATAAGTAGAATCTTCTGAATTTCTCTCCTTTGTTAAAAACATATAGCTCAGTTGGTAGAGCATGAGACTCTTAATCTCAGGGTTGTGGGTTCAAGCTCCAAGTTGGGCAAACGTTTCCTGCATTGCAGGGGGTTGAACGAGATGACCTTCATGGTTCCTTCCAACTCTACAATTTTCTGTAAGATTGTATGACCCTTGTGTTAAGCAAGTTTAAGCAAGTATACATTCATACGTAATGGGCTTTAAATTATATTGACAACTGGGCAAGGTATTTGGAGATAGAATTATTTTATTTTTTTCAGTGGAAGCTGTATGATGCTGTTTAATTACTTTAAGGAAATTTAATTACTTTATCCAATGCTTTCCACAATGTAGATTGCAAGCTGGCTAAGGCAGCTGGTCACTCAAGTTCTTCAACTATAGCGGGTACCAGTGATACAACAAATCAAACATTACTCCCTTCCCTAGAGAACACAGCTTCCAGCCAGCATTATTGGGCCTGCATCAATGTGGCAACTGGTATCAAAAACATGAAAGGGAAACTTTTAATTTCATCTGAATCAAACTAAGCAATCCTGTTTTGGATTAGTCAATATTGTATCAATATAGCATGCAAGTAAAACAATATAAAAATATAGTAGGATTAGGCCACCTGCCAAAATACATGTGACCTCTTCCAACCTGCCCTGGCTAAAGTTACAAAGGTGCAAAATGAATGCCAGCATCAAAAATTGCTCACACGTAATGGTTATACCAGAGTCAAGATAATTGATTCAAATTGACAATCTGCCTTAAAGCCATAAAGGCGTGCCACCACTTCAGGTTACAGAGAAGAGAGCCCATATCATTAAATGCTCTTCTAGATACATACCTTTATACTTTCTGGGACAGACTGCCTTTTCCCACATGAGCCTGCCTAACTATTCATCTTTGGAGGCCCTCTTGACAGTTTGAAACCTAAATTGTTTGAACAGGAACAGGAAGAAGGGACTTTTTCTGTTACTGCACCCAGACCTTGGAACTCCCCCCCTCCCGCCAGGGAGGTTTATCTTACCTCCTAAGTGGCATACAAATACCATAAACAAACATTAGCCTTCCATCACAGTATGAATGCCTTCCTCTTCTGGAAAATCTTCAGCTGTTAGAGACTGATTTTATTGCTTGCCTACCAATCATAATTTCATGTAATTCTTCTGGATGTTTACTCTGTCATTTAATTCCTACAACCATTTTAATCCTTTATGGTTCTGTCCTACAACTTGCTATAACTGGTCTGAATAAACACTTATTCTGAAAGCACTTCCTCCTTGCAGGGCATAACTGCTTAACCAGCTTTGCACGTTTACCACATGCACTACTTACTGGCTTTAAACAATTTCTGACTCTTGCATGAGAGTAGCCCACTTATAGCAATCTTGTGATGCTTAAAAGAATCATGTAAGTTCTTAAGGGCAGGCTGTCTAGAGGATGCTCCAACGTGAAATTAAAGTGCTTGGGACTAGGCTACCCAACAGATTGCTTTCTTCCATACGTATCTATCAAAACCTTAAGATCCCCTACAGAGGCCCTGCTCTGGATGCCCCCATCAAATGAAGTGATGTAGGTAACCACCTGGAAAATTGCCTTTTCAGTAACAGCATCCTACTCATGGAATAACCTTCCTCAGAGAGGCCCACTCAGCTTCACCTTTATGGTCTTTTGGGTGCTAGGTTAAGACCTTTCTGCTCATCCAGGCTTTTAAATAACTTAGTCTGGGGTTGTTGTTTCTCTACCCCCTTTTTAAAAATGTCTTTAACATTGAGGGTACCCAGTATGGAGAGGTCTATTGTCTCTACATAGCTTTTGGATTTGGTGTATATTATTTGTATATTGTATTATTTGTATTTATTTGTATATTATTCTTGCATTTTTGTCACCTTTTCACAAAAAGTGACCCAAAGCAACTTACAAAATACAAACATTAATACAAAATAAAAAAATCAAAACCAAATCGAAGACCAAAAACAAAACCATAAAATATATTTTAAAAAGCAGTTCTAATGGTTTAGTAGGTCCATTTTCACTGTTTTCTATTTATTTACTGTAAGGCATCTAGAAAGATTTCCCCATGAACCACTTGAAAATTGCTTACTGGTTTTCTGCCTGTTATAGCAATTGTAATGCACTGTGCTAGCAGCTGCATGATTTTTAATTATATTTTCAGACACACTTGCAACTACTGGTAGTCTGGAATAGTTTGGGAACCCCTGACCTAGACAACTTTGTGTTATGGGGCAACATACAAACTGTCATAAAGATTAATACTTGTCTGATAAAGGTGACCGCTCTGTGCCCACAGAACAGTTGCACTGCCTGTACAAAAGGCTGTGGGTTGGTGGATGGATGATGAAACGGCCCAAATACAGCATCCCAGGATATGTACTGCTGCTGCTGCTCCTGTATCACTTCCATGATCACACATGTGGTTTTCACTAACAAAGCTGACAGCACCAGACACCCTCCCCTTATCTTAGTATTAATAGCAACAGGTTAAAATTAAAGGAAACTTATATTCAGCAGCACTGACTCAAAATAAGCAAAATACAAGTTAAGTTAGTTAAAATGGCATCCTCTTCAATATTAGTCAGAGTGAAGAGGAAAATGAGAAAACTTGGGAATATGAGCAAATTTAATTTGCCATTATACTAATTCCTGCTACCTTTCCCACCTAATAAGAAAAACTATTAACTGAACCAACAAAGTTTCACTCCAGTCACTAACAAATTTCATTATTCAGAACCATTTATTCTCACACTGAAAAATAAGGAAAACTACATGCTTCTTATGCTGGTTAACTGATTTGTCAGATACCACATTCCCAGAGAAGACAACCACTAAACTAGGAATCTATATTACCCAGACTGCAGCCTCCTGTTTTTAGCTCACACCCTTCAACTCTGGCCTTTATCTTTCTAATACAGTTGAGGGATGGGGGCCCACCCATTTTGCCGCTGGCACAGAGCCACTTCCTTTGTTACCTTAAGGACCCACACTTAGGAGGACATTACCAAAAACTTGTCTAGCTATTCTAGCAATTGGATCCTTGTTGGATTCAGGAATTAGAAAGGACTCACAACCTACTTCCCCACACCAATTCACAACAATACTTACTCCATAAGATGCTGCCGTTCAGCTAAAAAGTCACTCAACTAAACAGAAACATAAATAATATTCATTTTTAAAACAGCAATATGTACTCTTGTAACCTGGCAGAAAATGGAAACAGATGATTTGACTTGCATGAGATTTAACTTGCTTGAGACATTTTTGCTTTGAGTTCTACTGGCATTCCACATGAATTTGTCCACTTACTTTCCAAAAGCTAACATCCTTCAACACATTCACTACTAATATCCCTTTTTAATGCCGCATAATAAAACTAATGTCCAAATACCATGAACAAAACTAAACCAAGTCCTCAAACAAACCTGTCATTTAGAAAACATTTACTATACTTGAACAGATAAAGCTACCACTGAATATTGCTCTTCACCATTACGGCACACAACCACCAATATAAATTTGGTCTGCTAAACTGTACAGAAAACACAGGAATCCAAATTGAACCAGTTCCTAATATTTTTCAAGCTGCGGAATCTTATCTTCTGGAAGAACAACTCTCAGCCTTGCTTCTCATATCTAGAGCTGTGCTGCCTGTGATTCATTGGAGTCCTGCTGCCTGTGGCAGATAACTCAGAAAGTGGGAACTCAGCGTGGGAACTCTTTCGTAAAGGGAGCATCCTGCTCTTGAAGGAAAAGAAGAAGATAAAATAATAGCCTGTGGCCTTGCCAACCTTACAAAATCTTTAGGAATCAGACCAAAAAAAATCTTCATTCAACTGCTTGCATTGCTGGATAGGATGGTGCTGCCTTGTTTTCTCCTTTTAATGAGGAGTTGATTACATGTGATTTCTTGACCCCAATTAAGTCCAAGAAAGCAATAAATGGACTGTCCCCAGCCCCACACTAAAGCTAATTTAGTTGGTCGCAACGGACCAGAGAATGACAAAACCAAAACGGGCACTAGGGGATGAGTTTTGTTGGCTGTCAAAAGCTCCCTGGAGAATCAACCGAAGGCTTACAAAGCAAGCCCGAAGGAAGGGCAAATTCTTTCCTCGGCCAAGACTTAAGTGCGCTGGGATTTCCAAGGAAGAAGCGGCCCGCCAGCCAACCAACCACATGGAGAAGTCCCCAAGCTATGAGCCACCCTTTTCAGGGAACGCCCAGGTACCTCCTCCTCCTCCTCCTCTCTCGAGCATCACTTGCTGGGCAAGCGGCTGCGCTCCGTACCTTGATGCGCTCGCGGCACTGGGACGGTGTCCGCTCGTAGCCCAGCTCGGCCAGGGCCCGGGAGACCCGCTCGTACATGGCGGGCCCGGGGGCCTTGCTGCCGAACACGGTGCCGGCGCCCTCCAACTGCTGGTACCGCGCCTCCACCAGCCGCTCGTTGCCCCACACGGCGATCAGCGCGTTGGTCTCGGCCGGCGTCCATGACACGCCTCGGCAGGCGGCCGCCGTGGCTGTGCCTCCGGGCGAGAAGGAGACGGACGGGGAGGCCCCGCCGCGGCCCCCGCCGCCGCCGCCGCCCCCCGAGCCGGCCCCAGTCCCCGCCGAGGTAGCCGCGGCCACGGAGCCCGGCCCGGCGGGGCCTAGCGGGGAAGCGCCGCTGGGCGTGGAAGGGTCGGAGAGGCTAGGGTTGCCGTCGCTGAGGGCCCCGGGAGAGCCGGGAGACAGCACCTCCATCTTGGGGATCTTCAGCGGCGGCTCGGCGGCTGAGAGCTGTGAGGAGCCACAGGGCGCCGCCATATTGGAGCTGCGGAGCCGAGCGGGCGGAAGTGACGGCCGGAGCCCAGCGGGCGGGGCTTCCGCCAGGCGGTGACAGCCAACAGTGGAAAGCGGGAGAATAGGGCGGGGGGCGAGTGGGGAAGCGAGAAGGGAGCCGCGGGTTGTGCGCGTGCGCGTTAGGGAGAGCGTTGCAGCGCGTGCCGCGGCAGGAGCGTTTTAACGGTTAAGAGGATGAAGGCGGGAAAAGGCGCGTGAGGCGCGTCAGGTGAGCCTCACCTCAGGAGCGGCAGGACCATGTTTCGAAGTAAGCGAATACAGTGGTACCTTCAGTGCCGTATAAGCTAAACAAGCTGTAGCTTCTTAGAGCCCCACTCTCTTGCCCCCCCCCAATCACTATTAACATACTTAATTGTATTTCGGTTCAACAATTACTTTGATAAAATACATATTTTGTTATGTGGCAAATGGCTTTAGATCCCTATTGGGTACCTAAATTACCATATAGCATATATTCAACACAAAAAAGCGACAATTTGTTGTTGACAAAGGAGAGCTGGACATATAAAGGGCCCTATTACTTTCAGTCAAACCTAAATCCGGCCTCGTCAAACCTAAATCCGGCCCTGGTAATTTGGTTCTGAAACTTAATCTATTCTGGAAGTCCATTCCAAAACCAAAGGGTTCCAAAACCAAGGCACGCTTTCCCATAGAAAGTAATGCAAAACAGATTAACCTGTTCCAGACTTTTAAAAAAAACTAAAACAGAAATTTAACATGAATTTTGCAATCTAGAGACGATTGATCCATAAAATGAAAGCAATCAACAATATACTGTACTATAAAATAAAGATAGTATTGTAGATGATTTTTTTTTTTTTTAATTCTTACATGCACTGATGATAGTCATTGCTTGTGGGCCTTTATCCATTTCCACAGTCACACAATCAGTCAGTAGCCGAACTGGGTTCCATGCAGTGACAAAACAAATTAACCAAAAAAGCCTCAAAAACGCAAAATAAATTGTAGCCTTATGAGGCTTTGCCCTCGGGTGGGAAAAATATTGCGCCTGGGAAAGGGAAGTGGGAGTCAACAAACACTCAAGGAATAGTTTCGGAGAAAAGGCTTTTATTTCTACCATCCATGAACTGGTAGAAGGAGCAAGTGTGATATGTCACAAAAAGCATGAATGAAGTTCACAGTCATGTGCACAAGCATATATACCCCTTTCCAGTTCCCTCCTCCTCTCTCCTCCCTCAGGACTCCTGCCCATGAATTCCTCTGAGCATGAACAGAAAGCTGTCTTGGGACTATTGTGGACTCTTGGCACCCTTCCCAGGAAAGGGGTTTCAGCATGTTCAGATAGGTTTCAATCTCTTGTTCTGGCATGGTTCCCGGACAGAAAGCAAGTTGCAATGTGGTTCTTTAGCAAGGCCAGAAGGCATCAGAAAGGCCTGAGAAACAATGGACTGTTCTCTACCTTTGTTACAGCAGAGCGGAATGTTTCTGATGCTTAGCTGCTGAGAAAATAATTTTGAAAAGCTCTGAGAAGCTTTGAGCCTGCTTTGGTGGGGGGTGACTTCGGGCCTAGGTGAGGTCACCTGTCCTCACCTTCCTTCAAAATAGCAAAAACAAAAGCGCCAAACTTAAATCTGTTCCAGAAGTCAGTTTGACTTCCGAAATGTTTGAAAACCAAGGCGCAGCTTCTGATTGGTGCGGGTGCCCCAGAAACAATAGCTGACAACAGTATTGGATGTTTGGCTTCTGAAGAACATTCAAGAACTGGAACACTTGTGGATTTTTGGCTTTTGAGAACTAAGGCGTTTGAGAACCAAGGTACCACTGTAACTAGACAGTTACTTGGGAAGTTTTCCTTCCTTTTTTCCCCAAAGGGGGGAAAAACCCTAAATCGTTCTTCTTCTGAGGATTGAAGTTTGTTCAGATTTTGTAGTGAGCAATGGGACAAAGGAAAAACTCCTTTCTAAGCACTGGGCAAGTGGAATAATACAGTAATAATAATAATAATAATAATTACTTGTACCTCACTCATCTAGCCACTCTGGGCAGGTGGGCAGCTCCCAACAGAGTATTAAAAACACGACAAAACATTAAACATCAGATATCTTCAAAAAGTCAGATACAGTCATACCTTGGAAGTTGAACAGAATCCGTTCCAGAAGTCCAAACTTCCAAAACGTTTGAAAACCAGTTTCTTACAAGCTCCTATTCCATTTTTCTGAACAATGAACAACCCCTCTAAGAAAAATCCCCTACCAGTTTGTATGATAATTTGCTTAAAAGTCTCAAATTTAGACAGACCGTGGCAACCTGTCCTTTTTGTCCCATGTAACGGATACATATATATATATGTATATGTATCCATTCCCTTCTGAGAATTGGTTGGCAGGGATTTCTGTATACAGTTGTACCTTGGAAGTCAAACGGAATCTGTTCTGGAAGTCTGTTCTGTTGGCTTTTTGCAGTATAGTAGCGCTGCAGAGAGCTTGTTGGGGAGACCATGCATAACCAGGAACTCAAAAATAGCTTTAACAAAGGTTTTAATAACAAAAACAAAAACTCCTTTTACACTAAACAACAACAAACATCGCCCAACCACCCACCCACCCCCCAGGGTAATGGGAGAGCTAGGTGCTGCTCCTTATATACTATACCCAATTGCTGACACAGCTTGATTAACACAACTCAGCAGCACCTGCTGTGTTTTCTGTTATGTACTGAGTTGAATAGGATCCAAACTGCAGCAGTCTGATTGGTCCTAAAACAATAGGATCCAAAACGCAGCAGTCTGATTGGTCCTAGAACAATAGGATTCAGAATGCAGCAGTCTGATTGGTCTAGTAGCAATGATTGGTTGGCAGGAACCACCCAATCATTCTCCAGATAGAAGCGAATCCACAACCTGATTGGCTTACAGTAGAATTCCGGAATTAGCCAATCATGCGCAGCCCATTGTGTAAATAATGTATATAAAGCAGATACTTTGAGGGGACATTCATTCATTCCTCCTCACCACTATGAGGTGAATAAAGAGCATGAAATCACTTTGCGACTCTGAGTATATTTCAGTTTCACAGCTGTAAGACTGGGTCTCGTTATTTGCCCTGGCCCTTAAAGACATACACAACTTGTGAAATAATAATGAACCTTCACATTTTAAAGTGACCATTCAACATGTTCGACTTCCAAAACGTTTGAAAACCAAAGCTCCTGCAGCCAATCAAAAGCTGCGGAAGCCGTGGCAGATGTTCAGGTTTCAAAAGAACGTTCAGAAACCAGAACAATTGGGAGCCAAAACATCTGAGTTCCAGGGCGTTCGATAACCAAAGTACGACTGTAATTATTTATTTCCTTGACGTCTGATGGGAGGGTGTTCCACAGGGCAGGTGCCACTACAAAGAAGCCCCCTGCCTTGTTCCCTGTAACCTCACTTCTCGCAGGGAGGGAACTGCTAGAAGGCCCTTGGAGCTGGACCTCAGTGTGGACGAACCCTCCGTCACGGTAGCGTACCCTCCAACATTTCTCTGATGAAGATAGGGACCTTCTCTTCTACACCAGGAAGATTCTTTTGCCATTCGATCTCACCACACCCATGTACCTCATTTATACAGACGCACCTGTCACCTTGAGCCAATTATGACCTCTCTGCTTAACCTACCTCACAAGGTTGTTGTAAACATAAAAATGTGTGAGGGGATAGGATTGTGTAAGCTGCGTTGAGTCCCTGTCAGGGGGGAAAGGATATATGTATCCTGGACTACTACTTCATTGGACCACTGTCCCTCCCAACAAGCAATCAAATGCCCTGTAGCTGGTCACACCCCCACCGTCTGTTTAGAGCATATGATTTCCCCCAAGGAATCCTGGGAACTCTACTTTGTCAAGGATGCTGGGAATTGTGGCTCTGGGAGGAATGAACTGCAGTTCCCAGAATTCTTGCGGGAGAGGAAGCCCCTTGTTTTAACATATGGTGTTGATGTGTTGAAAGCCATGATTTGGTTTTGCCGTGCTTGTGGACAATGCTGTATTGGGGCGGTGAATAGTAAGTGAGACAATTTTAGATTTTGGCCTGTGGACATGTGGGTAGGAGATTGCACCTGCTTTGTGTCTCTTTCCCAGTATTTTTAGTGTGTGACCCAAACGGGTTTCTGGTTAGACTTTCTCCTCAGTAACCATGACCTGTAGCCAAGAATGAACCTTGGCTACAACTCCTACTTAAGGAGGAGAAAGGCAAGCCATGAAACCAGGTTCGGACTACATACTAAGCCAAACCTAAGCTAAGAGGGCTAGGTTGTGGTATGATCTCTTCCAGCACATTTATGCAATCATGGGAAGACATAGTCGGCTTACTGTGGTGTGCAAACCAGGCTATTGAAAGTTTGACTGAGTGACATACCGGTAATCTTTTTTTATTTGTTTGTCCTGAAACAAGCTGCTTCAATGCAGTGCATTTGAGGGTGGAGGTACCATTTACAGACGAGCAAAGTACTGTTTCCACACTTACTGCTTTCATTCCCTTATTACATTATTCTATTTACCTTTCATGGAGCTCAGAGGGCTGGATAAGAGCCCTTTACCACTAGCATTGGTAATATCCATGTAACTACCCTTGGGGAGCTTAGGCAAAGAGAGCGTGCACAGGAGTGACTGGACAAGGGCCCAGTGGACTTCATGGCTGAGCAAGATTTGAACTTGGGCCTCCTTGGTGCCAAGTACAGCATTCTAACCTGGGCATTAGAAGCTGATGGGATTTGTGGGCGATCCTTATTCTAACCACAGCAGCACACTAGGCCTCTGGGAGTTAGATCCAGATGTAGCCATCTACTTAGAGTAGACCTATTAAGATCAGTGGGACTTAAGTCACCATTTACTTAAGTATCATTGATTTCAGTTGGTTTAAGCATGGCTATGTCTGGATCCAATTTTCTGAGAGCAAATGTGGTGTAGCAGTTAGTATGTGTAAAATGCTAATAATTGATGGGTGACCAGCTTCGATATCATACTGGACCTTGCCTTGGTTTTCAATAAGCAGGTTGCTATAGTTTCTAGAACAACTGTCAATTGTATCTACTGTGCATATTGTTTTTCCCTTTTAGAAAAGATAGATGCTTTTAAATTTCAGGGTTTGATGATAGTAATATGAGCTATGAGCTGTCTCAGGAGCTTCAGTTAGTGCAAAATTCTGCAAGTGTCTTCTGTTAAATGCCAAGAGATGGGAGTAAGTGTAGCTTTTGCTCTGTGAAGTATGCTGATTGTCATTGTCCTTTGGCGCCCTGAAAAGGTGCTAGTTTTAGCAGTATTAATCCACACATGGCAAGAAATCCACATATTTTGTTTGCTCCCTTTACCAGTCCTTCTGTTCCCTCTATGCATCAAATCAGACACTGTTTCAGTTACCATTAATAGAAACAAGTGGGAATTGCAACAAAATGTTGCAGTATAGCTTTACTTCCTAATAGGAGTTCTTGTGTGTTCACTGTACAAGCCAGCTAGCTATGCCTCCTTCTAGCATACTAAGTATAAGCTATTAGGGGCTTGTAGCAAGCCAATGTCGTCACTCAGCTTTCCATTCCAAATGCCATTCAGTGTTCTATAGCTTTTGGTGAACAATCAAACATTCAGTATGGTGGTTTCCTATATGTGCTATAGTGGAATTTATTGTTTTCTTTCCTCATGACTGGATTCTCACTTCATTACTACCCTGATGCATCTGGATTCGGATTCACCCAGCCAAATTTTGCCTGGCTATATGTTCAGAGGCGGATATAGGGGAGCGCAGTGTGTTCAGTCATACTGGGCATGGAACTTCGGGGGCATCCCAGAGGATGCCGCAACTATTATTAGAATGAGAGCAAGAGGAGGGGTGGGTGGGTGCAGTATTTTGGTGTCGCACAGGGTACTGCTGAAATTTGAGACCCGAAAATCCGCCACTGCAATGGGAACCAGACGAGGCTTGCAGCAAGAATTTATTTGTGTGGTTTTTGAATCTGTTCTGGATTAATGCTGTATTGGGCATTGTCGTTTTCCTAATTGTGGTAAGTCTCCGTCAGGAGTTCCATTTTGTAAATATTTTATAGGGCAGCAAGTCTGTTCATGTGTTAGGTATGCTGGCACCAGCGTTTCTTCACATACATGGCAATATCATTTCTATACTTTCTGCTTCATTATTGTAGTTAAAATTTACTCTCTTAATCCCATTGAGGCCAAGTAGAGTATTAATACTATGCCCGGTGTCAGAACTAGGCAATTCAGAGCCCTAGGCCTAATGAGTAGTAGATACCAGAGGGAGAGAAGGGAGGGGAGATAGGAGAATAGCGGAAACGGATGGAGTGATTGGGGAGGGGAGCCCTCTGCAAGGGAACAGTTTAGACCTCTGGCCAAGAGCAAGCTCACCATCTCCCAGCCTATTTTTAAATAGTGTTTCTTCTAACACATAAATTCCACATCATTCCTTGGTAGAAGGGAGCTGGTATTTTCGGTTGGTTTGTTAGCCTTTCTGCTTTTGATCTTTAAAATTGTATTTTATTTGTAAATGAAGCATCCCCAGTAGCATGTCTTTGTAGGAAGCTCCTAAATTGTAGCATCATCATGGAACATGTGTTCCAAACAGTTTCCCAATCTTGGTGAATATAGCTTGATTGTAAAATGCTATCCTGCATCAGAGCACTAGAGGGAACCATTACTCCCTATAAAACTGCCAGGTTTATGACTTGTCTAGTGACACTGGACTGTCAGTATTATCTTCTTTCAGGGTTGTCTTCATTGAGATAACAGAACATTTTATCAGGATGCTTTCTGTTAAGTCTCTGTCCTAAATTAGATTCAATTTATGTGTGCAGGAATCCACTAAAATGTGATCCCCTATCTACATGAGTGATGAAAGGTTGCACCATAATTCACTATCCATGTGTATTTTCTGTGGCTGGGTTTGTAAGCAGAATCGCAGATTCAAGCTAAATTTGCTTATGTTATGGAATTGTTCCCAGAAAATAGTTATGCTAGTTCAGTCATAGGGATAATCATAAACTATGTGTTTTGGTGTAACTTCAAATATTTTATATCAAATATTTGTACTGCTTGTTAACAGGGTATATTTTTGTATAAAAATACTGTTTCCTCATATCAATAACTAAAATGGATGCATAGGACGTATTTTGCAGTTCAACTTTCCTCAGTATGTGAAGCATTTTACCACTGCAGTCAAGTCCTGGATGGTTTTCACTTGTCCTGGCTGTTTGAATTTAATTTTAATACCTTGCAGCCAAGTCACATTTATTCTATCTTTCTCTGGACTGGAGTGCATAGGTTAGAGAGTTCCCCTCTGCACTGCAGTGGTTTGAATGATTCCACTGAAATTAAAGGTTACTGAATAGCCCTGGAGCTCAGCGTTGCAGCATAACTGAGCACAGTCTTGCCGCAGGACCTGCAGGGTTTGGTGCACATAATCTATGTTTAATGTGTGCTGCATTTACAAGGTGCCCTGACTTCAGATTAAATTATGGGCTCCCAGACCTGCCTTGCAAATTTTCTAAGAGTTCTTTCACACAAAGAACTTTAAAGGCTGAAGTAAAAGGCCATGTGTCTATAAATGAAAACAGCACACAATTCCAGCTCCTTCAGTCTTTAGAGCCCTCTATTGAATAGCAGTTCTGATCACATGGAATGCAAAACTAAATCTTTGCTTGGCATTATATAAATGCATGTTTTGGCTTTCTTTTCTTTGCGTAATACAATCAGGTTCATCTGTTTTACAGAAAACCATGATTTGGCACTACATGTCATATCAACCAAGCCACTGTCCAAGACAGCTCTGAAGGAGTTGAACCATATTTTGCAAGTTTGGTTTGTAGGACAGACCATAATCATACTTTGTCGGCTAGGATGTAATTGCTACATATGGTTTGCTGCAAAAGAGGGCAAGAGAAGAGGCTGACATTATGTGTCAGCTGCATAATGTGGCCACATAATGCCAAATGAGCTCTGTGTTTCTTCTTGCTATGTTAGTCAAGATTTCAGTGCAAATAGTTAATAGTTTAGGACGCCACATTATTAAAGGATAGAATTTACACTGCAATAATAGTTTTGGAATAGACCTGTAAACATCTTACACAGGGTGTCATGGTCTGGTTTACGGGCAGTCGAAGTCCCGGTTGAGGATGTTGGGACCAGGGGCAAGACGGCGGGGTGGGAGCAGGAATGGGAGTCCGGAAGCCAAGGGTCCAAGAGTCAGAGAGCCGGGAGTCAAGAAGCCAAGGGTCTGAGGGTCAGGAAACCTGGAGCCAAGGGTCCAAGGATCAGGAAGCAAGGAGACAAGAAGCCAAACACAGCAAGGCAGGAAGCGTGTTGCTGTGGCAAAGAGCCAAAGGGAAATGCTGACCTTTTATCCCTTCCCGGCTCTTGCCACCAGGTGCTGTGAGTTACCAATTGGCCTCACCTGTGCGGCCGCTTCCCTCTTCAGAACAAACTTAGGAAAGCCCCAGTCCTGCGAAGCCCTACCAGTCACAGGGCCTGGCTCCTGTAAGCACTCCTAACACAGGGATTAGATGCCCAGAGTGCTCCTGTGTTCTCAGTTGCAATAGTATATTTTCTGTAGCTTTTAATGATGATTGGTTGAACTTAGTTTAATATTTTATTGGTTTGTCTCTTTTTTGTGAGATGTGTATATGTGTGTGTGTGTGTGTGTGTGTGTATATATATATATATAGATAGATAGATAGATAGATATAGTTGTTGGCCATCTTGAGAACTTCTGGTCGTCTCTGTCTTTACTGGAATGGTTTTTAAAATGTTTTTATTGTTTTATTGTTTGTTTGCTACTCTCAGCACCTTTGGGAGTAAGGATTGAGCATAAATTTAATAAATTAAATGAGAGGGAGGATTAAGAAACATTTTAATAAATAAAATACTACATATTAGTGTGCCACAAAGAGTATGAGCAGGGAAGACATATCATGACAGACGATACCTGAAGGGCAAAGCAGGATCTAATATATTAATTTAAGAAAACTTGTTTTTTAGGGACAGAAGGGTGGCAGGCTTGAGACTTAACCTTTTCAAATTGGTAGTTTAGTGAGAGGTCCTACTCAAAATTTCTTGATCAAGAGATATTAGTTGGCTTATCAGGTACTGGGGGCTGTGCTGGACCCGGGGGGAGTTACCGAGAGGCGTGGTCAGAGTCCAGTCCTGGGTCAAGGGTCTGGAGACTGTCCACCAAGGGCGAAGCGGGGTCCAAAGCAAGAAGCCGGGCGTGGTCAGGAACTCCGGAAGAACAGGTCTGGGTGCTGGCAGAAACAGGTTTCCAACGATGTTGCTCCCGCAACCTGGGACTGGGCTGACTGGCCTTTATCTCCTCTGAGGCCAGGGGCGGTCCCGGCCCACAGGTGACCCGCCTCTCCTGGCCTTAAGGCGAGCACTCCTCCTGAGAGAACTTAGTTCCCTCCGCCTCTCGGCCCTGAGCCTCTGCAGCTCAGGAGAGGCTGGAGGGTTACTGGACCCAGGGGTAGCTTCACCTTCCCCTGACAGGGCTGGGAGAGGCGCACCTGCAGGCAATGGGTCCTCAGTCACCTCCGGAGCCAGAGTGGATACATCTGGTGTCTGCTCCTGAGGACCCGGCACAGGTGCAGGCCCTTCAGATTCAAGCCCCTGCCCCGGCTCAGCCGGCCCTGGAGGTGGGGACTCCTGTGCAGGCTGGGATTCCTCAGGTTCAGCTTCTGAATCAGATTCCCAGGCCATCACAGGGGCCTATTATCTGCCTTCTGTGAAGGATGTTGATGACAAAATCTGTTGCAAGCCCTTCTGGCAAAAATCCAGAGTTACAGTGAGCAAGATAATAGCTCCTTTTAGTGATTATGGATGTGATTTTGGTAGGGTTTAGTTCCCACATGGCAGTGCTGCTCATCTTGAGTGCAGCTCATCTCAAAAGTCGTTAACATTTACATATTTCAGTATGTAATTTTCCAAATTATTACAAATCAAACCAAATTACTTTGATACAATTTCTTAAAATCAGGTTTCCCACTCCTATCGCAAACATATGTCGATCATTTCCTCTGGTAGCTGCATCATCTCTTAATTAATGTCCAATTGACACCTTCACTTGCCGTTAGTCCATTCTTGCAGCTGACCACATTTTTTTCCTCCTTACAAACAGCACCTCTATTACATCTTATAAATATAAAATCCATTTCACATGTGTAGTCCTTCATATACATTGTTTTTTCAGACCTGGTGTGCTGGGAGCATTAATTACTATCTTCCATTGTTGAGTTCTTTGCAGTAGTTATCTGGATGGGACAAGGTCACATTCCATTCCTTCCATTCTTTACCAACTAGCGTATAAGCTGCAGCCATAAATAACTCACAGAGTACATGCCCAGTCTCTGCCATTAAAATTCCACTCTGGAGTTTATCCTCAGCACACAGTTAAAAACAAAATCTTTTCTCAAATTCAGCCTCTTGCCAGATCTATTCGGGAGCTGTTCATTCTTCTTGCTCTGTATTGTTCCCTCACACTCGTGATCCAATCCAAAGATAATTTTAAATAAAGTCCATTCAACCTCGGTCGAGGGGGAAGGGCATAATAAAAGCTTGTTAAATTCCTTGTTGAGCATAAATCAAAAGCCGCCTCTTTTCCACGTTAACAGCCACAGCTACACAAGTCTCTTTCATTTTACAGGGGAGGACAAGAAAAAAGTAGGCCATTTGAAAACCATATGAAAGCACCAAGCACCTTTGTCCTCCCCCTTCCTTTCCCCGCTGTTGTAAGGATTCTCAAGCTTCAGAAAAAAAGATTCAAATACTGTCAAAGGGCAAAACCTAGTCCTTTCGGCAGCTGATTAATTGCAGCCCATTGTCATATGTTGGTCTAGAAGTGCCTCTTGATTAACGCCAATATTCCAGATTAAGGAGGAACCAACCATAAATCATGCCAGAGATGGAGGCTCGTCCATGGTAGGGACACACTCACAGGTTGCACCTTTTCTGCCTTTCAAGTTTGCAGACACAGGCTTGAGCAGCACAGTGGGATGCAGTGAGCTCCCCAGACCCCACTGGAGAACATTTCCAGGATTTTTGCCTCATAACCTGCCTGAACCTCCCCACTGTCTGCAGAGGGCAGCGGGCGGCAATCACCATTGACTCGTGACATAGCCGGGAACCCCATATTGCTTCTTTCTATACTGCCTCATCAGTTGCTCCCACTTCCTTATTACAGTGGTACCTCTGGTTGCGAACGGGATCCGTTCCGGAGGCCCGCTCGCAACATGAAAAGAGCACAACCCGCAGTGGCGCGTCTGTACACATGCGGGTTGCGATTTGCCACTTCTGTGCATGTGCATGATGTCATTTTGCGCTTCTGCGCATGCGCGAGTGGCGAAACCTGGAAGTAACCCTTTCCGGTACTTCTGGGTCGCCGCTGGATGTAACCTGAAAGAATGTAACATGAAGCGGATGTAACATGAGGTATGACTGTATTCTCCCCATCACTTTCCCCTTTATTCATGACAGAAGAACCTCATTGACTTGTGGTCAGCAGGTACCATATTTTTTCATAGCTCTGCTCCTGCTGAAGCAGGCTCACTGGATTTTGCCAGCAATTATCCTTCCTTTCAGTGCCTCACATATCTTCCTCCTATCATTGTGGTTATGAAGGCATTCTGCAGATTCTGAAAGACAGAATCTGTGTTGCAAATTGAGGGGCAGAGTGCTGCCAGGAACTGCAAAAGGTTTTTGGGTAGTGGGGAGAAGGGATCGTGTTTGTGGGTTTAGAACAGTGGTTGGTAAGGAAGGACTGGTTAGAGGTATAAACAGTCTCAATTTCTAAAATATTTTTGAGCTCAGCAAGTTCCTGGTCTAACAAATAGTACTATGATTGTGTGTTTCAAACTTGGGCAACACAGAAACAGTTCTTTATAATAAAACAGTATTGAACTGGCTGATAGATCAAGTTAAGCAGTGCTACAGTTCATCAGCTCCCATTTAGGTGTCATATGATCTATTCCAAGGTTTTCCCTGGAAGGCTTTTGCCTTGTTTTTAATTGCCATGTCTATGGTCCTCTGGGAGAGAATAGGGAAAGAACTGTCCTGATTGCAACTTGAATAGTTTGTATAATAATAAACTTATGTTAAACTTGGATAGACTCTCAGAGACTTCCTCCTGGTGGAGGCCAGAGTCTCTCAGCAATCACTTTGTTGGCAGACAGCTCATTTGAAGAGCATCTGTTTCAAATTTATCGTTCTCTGTTGTCATACTTAAGTATAACAGATTCTGGTTCTTGCTTCTCTTCTCTGCAGACCCTTTTACCAACTGCAGCCCCAGCTGAGCCTTCTCCCAGAGGTCTCAGTAACACCTTAGGCCAGCCTGCCCCAACGGACAGAAGAGCAGGTGCTAAGCGGGCTATAGATAGTGGAGTAATTCTCTTCCACATCCCAGAACACACACATGGGCATGCAGGGTGCCACACACAGCTTTCCTATTACATAGCCTCTCATTAGCTTGATGTGTGGGGGGTTATTGTAATGAGGGGATCTGTGGTGTCTGTAACAAAAGATCTCAGTAGTAATAATGATAATATTGGAGCTGGGTGGACTGTGATGAGCCAAACTCACACACTGACACTGCCATTACTACAACAGAAGTGTTCTGTAGAAAAACTTTACATTTTCTCAGTTTTTCATGCATTGAACTGTGTCCCTCTGAAACTTCCTAAGGTTTTGCCATATTTCTCTCTCACCATTTCTTAGATCAGTGCAAAATCTCAAATGAATCTAGAAAACCTTGCCTGTGCTTGACAAACAAAAAGTTTACTTATATGTAACAAAATATGGTAAGCACTTAAATGTATTACCCCAATGCAAATTATGATCACTTTAGCTTGTGATCAGATCTTTATAATTGCTGGTAGAAGGAGATGGCAGAAGATTACTCCTGAGAACTAAGAATTGTTGAGGCAGGTTCGGTGAGAAATGGAGAATCTCTGATTAATATATCCTCTGAAAGCAAGCAAGGTGATTTTGTACCAGTGTAGAGATGTTGAGGGGTAGGGAAAGGGACATAAAACTAAACTGGGCAGGCGGAATGCAATAGAGTATTTTGAAAGAGGTCGTGGCTGGGTACCTTGAAAGGGGAGGGGGGATATTTATTTATTTATTTATGCAAATCCCATCTCCCTTTCTAATCAAATCATGCAGACAATTCCTCCTACTGATCTACATTTGGATGTAGGAATGCATGGAACAGATCATATGCTCAGAATGTCTTCATAAAAATAAGAAGTTTCAAAATCAGAAATATAACTGGCCAGGGGATGGAGAAGTATTTGCATATTTTAACTTTTTACACCTGAGACAGAACAGCTACAATCTTGCATAGTAATTGCTCTGAAATGCAGGCATCCTTTGACCGCAGTGCTAATTTGTTGCAGTATATGGAGTTTGCAGACAGGGAAGACTGCAGCCTTCCTCAGTTCCTACTTACCATTTATAGCTTTAACCCACTTCTCAAGAAAATAGAAGAAATCTGGGAGCAGCTCATTTTGAAAGATACAGTGCAATCCAATACATGTCTGCCCACAAGTAAGTTTCATTGAGTTCAGTAGCGCTTACTTCCAAGTAAGTGTGTATAGGATTGCAGCCTAAAACAGTATTTTCTGCTATTTTGCTCTTTTCTGAAGGAGAGCTAGCTTGGCTGCGTGCCCACCTGCCTGCTGGCCTATTGATCCCCTCAATGAGGGATTTGTATGCATTTGATTGCATATTTTTCTGCTTCTGGTAACCTTGTGCCTACCTTGTCCACTGCCAGGGAAACCCTGTGAAAAGAAGATTTATTGAGAAATTCAAAGTAGTGCTATATAAAAATAGAAGCTAGCAGCTCTTAGCTTCTCTTTCTTGCCCTTTCTAGTTTAAAGCATTCAGAAGTGAAATATCTGAATGCAGCATAGGCCAAGGGGGACCTCAAATTAAGTTTCCTTCCTTTTTTTCAGAGAGTGGTGGAGGGAAGGCCCACACATTTTGTGAGGGTTTATCTGATTTTTACTACTGATTTACAGCAAGCTGGGGCCAAAGTACACATGATGTGGGATATCTATTTTCAGACCTCCAAATACTTTTTTTAAAAAAAGCAAAGCTTAAAAGTAACTGGGTATGGCTTGGGGCCACAGGACTGAGAATGTGTAGTCTTTGCCTCCCTTACTTATTTCTCCAAGTAAGTAATAAATAAAAATATATTGCCCAATATCACCCTTTGAGATTGCTATAATGGTCTTGCTGGGTAAAAAAGACAGAAACAACAAAGGTATATTTTCTTCCCTGTGGAGTGTGTAATTAAAAAAATAGCACAGACTGACAGCACCACTACCTTAATCCAGTTTGTTCATATGGTTGCTTTTAAGTTTTTTAAAAGCAACCTTTCTGGTTTTGAGCCTGGAGAGCAGCTTGGTGCATAATCCATGAAATTTAGGAAACTATTTCCTTCATACCACTTCATGGTTGTAGAATGTCTTGCCAGAGCCTATGGAACAAATGTATTTATTGTAAGGGAAGGGCAGGAGGGGTGCATTCATAAACCAGGCTCTGGTGTCTTGATGTCCTGTACCAGTTGGTCCCTTACCTTTCCTGCCCTGACCTGGCCACAGTGATCCATGCGACGGTCACCTCCAGGCTTGACTACTGTAATTCGCTCTACGCGGGACTGCCCTTGAAGCTGTCCCAGAAACTTCAGCGGGCGCAGAATGCTGCAGCGAGGCTCCTCACGGGGTCTCTGCCATGGGAGCATATTCACCCAGTGCTTTTCCAGCTGCACTGGCTCCCGGTGGAGTACAAGGTCAGATTTAAGGTGCTGCTTTTGACCTTTAAAGCCCTTCACGGCCTAGGACCCTTGTACCTACGGGATCACCTCTCCCAGTATGCCCCACGGAGAGCCTCAAGGCCCATAAATAGCAACACCCTAGTGGTCCCGGGCCCTAAAGAAGTTAGATTAGCTTTAACCAGAGCCAGGGCCTTTTCAACTCTGGCTCCGGCCTGGTGGAACGCTCTGCCTCATGAGACCAGGGCCCTGCAGGATCTGATTTCTTTCCGCAGCGCCTGTAAGACAGAGTTGTTCCGCCTGGCCTTTGGTTTGGAGCCAATTTGATTCCCTCCCTCTCTTTCTTTTTTCTTTTCCTTTCTCCTCCTGCGATGAGGCTACATTTTAATATTTTTATGTTTCAATATTTTAATGTTGTATTTTAATTTTGCTTTTAAGTTGTAATCATTCAACTTGTTTTTATTATTGCTTGTTAGCTGCCCTGAGCCCGGCCTTGGCTGGGGAGGGCGGGGTATAAATAAAAATTATTATTATTATTATTATTATTATTATTATTATTATATTACCACTGGTGCCTTGCCAAATATGGGGATCAAGGGCACCATCTAGGCTGCAGTACCCGTCAGCCTGAATACAGTAGACTAATTTGGAACAGCCATTTATTACAAAACTTGGGCCTCAGAAGCTGCTTTTTAGTCTGAGCAATTTTCCAGGCCAGTGGGAATAGCAGTGCAGATGGCTCCTTGGGTCCTGATTTGTGTACTTTTGAACTGGTCCTGACCATATCCCTCCTGTGCTGAAAATCAGCTTACCTGTATCTTTGCACCAAACACCTGGAGCAGACTCCTGAGGCCCAACAGTATATTTAGAAAATATTACATAAATACAAAAGAGTAACATAAAAAATTTTCTGTGTAATTTTCTTTCTGGTGGAAATCCCTGCCACATTTATTGGACTGAAGAAGATTTCCATGACCACATTTGAAGAATGTACTAAGTTGCTATAAAACATAGTTACCATCCTAGTTTCAGAAAATGTAAAATTCTTACATCACATCTACACCATACATTTAAAGCACATTACTTTTGTAAAAGAATCCTGGGAACTGTAGTGTACCCCTTACAGAGCTACAGTTCTCAGCCTCTTTAATTGCAATTCCCAGGATTATATGGGATAAGCCATGTGCTTTAAATGTATGGTGTGGGTGTGTGACCTTACATAGTTTTGAACTTTATTCAAGTTCAAATTTAGAATTTCAGACAGTTTAGTCTGGAGAAGATTATGAATCTCAAGAGCTTGCACACTCTTTAACTTAGTGGTGGGAACCTATGACTCTGCAGCATATATAGTTGGACTACAATCCCATCATTTCTGACCATTGGCCTTGCTGCCTTGGACTGATGGGAGCTTGAGTCCTACAACATTTGCAGGGCCGCAGGTTCCCCACCTCTGCCTTAAGTTGAACAGAGGTTATCCGTCACTTTTAACACCCCTTACCACAAATAAATAAGCATCTATTCCTATTAGTGACTCCTTGCAATCTGGAAAAGCAGTAATTGCATATCATTAATTGTGTTTGTGTTAATACAGACCTCAGCAGTCAGGGCTGATATAATAGCTGTTGTCAAAAATGAATTGGTACCATCTGGCTTTGTTGGGTTGCTATTGGGTTCTGCCGCTTTGTACTGAAGTGAGGTCTCCAAAATGCACTGAATGAGAATAGATGAAACAACTAATTGACTCTCTTTTCTCTGTCATCTTGGGTACTTCAGAGCTATGAAAACGCACATGTACTTGTCAAGTGGACACAAAAAAGAGGTCAAGATGTCTATTTTACTCTGGCCAGGTCATGACCTGAGGCTCTGTGGCCAGTGTCTCCAAATCCCTGTAAGGCAGTGGGCCAGTAGTGAGCCTGTGTGTGTAAGAAACCCTCCCACTGAGAATGTAATTAAAGCAGCTTGGAAACAGAGGGGGAAACTCTGCATTCTCTAGGGCTCATTTTATTCCAGCTTTGATTAATGAGGTTGGGTGGAGTTAATGAACAGGGAGTTTAAAAGAGTGAGCAGCCCAAGCTGATACATCTCCTTTCTCTTGGGAACTTGCTAAGGGTTATGGGCAGCAACAATGATCCAGCAATGGGGGTTTGGGGGATCAGGTGCTGTCCCTCTCTGCTTAGATCATTTATGCAGAGAATTATCTCCAATGGTATTTTTGCTGCTCCTCTGTGCAGGGCACAACTGACTAACCTCTTCAATTTTGTAGCTTGAAGAGCCAGTGGGAGCTCCTTGAGCAGATCAGGCCATCATGAAGCAGTTAACTTTAGTCTTGATTCCCTTAGGAGTTGCATTGTCTGGGCATAAAACTGCCCTTTTCCCTTGTGTAGTTAAAGAATGTCAGAAGTCCTTTTTAACTGAAACCATCAAAGAGTAGCCCACGGGAAGACCTGCCTAATCTATCACTGCAGGTCTTTCTCACCTCTAATAGCAAAGAAGAAGAAATAGATACTGCTCTGAACTAAGGAATATCTCCATAGGTCTAGGGAGCAATTATTCAGTACATGATGTGGAACAAAATAGTACCATAGTTAAAACACTACTGTGAATCTTTGGGGCTAATTCCCATTTTCATCTAGCAAATTATCAAATATTTTCCTTTTTACTTTATTACTGATCAATAACTTTCGTTAGAATCCTAATATCCATTAAAACACAATACATTTCTTCCTGAAAACGCATACTTTCTGTGTACCTCTCTAATCTTACATTCTGTCTCCCTTTTTCTTTGTTGAGCTATGTGTCTGCACTTTTGTCCCAATAATATTCATAGACATATTCTGCGATGCACAATTTAGTACCCTTTGCAGAAGCAAGTTTATGGTCTCAATGATTGCAAACAAATATCTGAAAATGTGGGCAGTTCTGCTAAAGATGTTGATACCTGAAAACTACCATTGATCAAAATCTTTTGAATTCACTACAGCTCTTACTCATTTTCTATTTCTTATTCCTTCCCTTTAATTAGCATTGAAGTAAAACAACAAGAAAAACAAGCCCAGCTGTGGACCCAGAACTTCCAGGAAGGTAGCCCCATTCTAAAGGGCCCAATAAATGTTACTGTGGCTGTTTTTGGGGTGGAAATTATATTTAAAGAGGTCTGCTATTGGCAATGGTGCACCACCAGGCATGTGTTCAGTATCACCACTGGGGATAATATATTCTTTAAGTTGTTTGCCCTGGTACCTGAGAGAAATAGGAACTGAGGGGAAAGAGAAAACCTCTAGGGTAAGAGACTAGTTTGCTGAAAGAGTTGACTACTTGCATGAACCAAACAAGTGAAAATGTTCATTGGGTTGTCTGGAAGGCCCAGTTTAACATCTGATTCACATTTTAGCAATTCTTGTGATGATGTCATGATTGCTATATTATAACATAATATAACATATCAGTCAGTTTTCTTGTTGCTGGCACTAGAGTTCTTTATAAATGATTTTGTTGCACAAGATGGCAAGTAGCAATTCACAATCATTGAAGGCCACATTTGCTCTTTGCATGAAGATGGCAGCATGTCCTCCAGGTGCAGAAATGCCTCTTAAATCTGAATGCTGGTCCCCTCTTTTCTTCCCAGTATATAACACCAGTGTCTCACAACAAATGTAACTGAAGAACCTGAAGAAAGAGACAATGCATGTGCTTTTGACAACAAGGGGAAATTATAATTTTTTTAAAGAAGAAAAGGAGTATGTGGCAGTTCCCAGTATTTATAGAGCCCCACCCCTATTACATCATTAGAATCGGAACATAAACCTATGAAATTAGAAAAGAGTGAAAAATATCAATGTTTCGTCCAGATCCTAGGTACTGCACCCTCGCTAAAGGAGCCTGTATGGATGATTCACTAAATGATTGTAGGATGATGTGTGTACCTGAGCTTATGCCCCCAAATTCTCTTTATCTTACATGCTGCTTTATTACAAAAATGACGACTAGACTACTGATCCTAAACTGAATAGTTAGGTGCCCAACCACCCACTCCAGAACCCATTGCTCTCAACTGACTCTCAACTGACTCGCATTCAAACCTTTCAAATCCTCATCCAATCATCACTCACCACCAGGATTCCACAATCTCTCTTTCCCCCCTCCCTCCTTAACATTCCCATAATAATTCTGATACAATTACCTTGTAATACAATGTAATAGAGTTATTATTACATTCAATATTTTATACACACTGCTCCCTGTAACCATACTGTTACTGCAGGTTCTCCATCCCTGTTTTAAAAACCAGATGTCTTCTTCCAGATGATCCTGGGAATTGTAGTTTGTTCGAGATTCTGGGAATTGTAGGTCTGAGAGGGAAGCCACAATGGCACGAATCATTTTGGGGGAAGTCATGTGCTTTACAGATGCCTTGGATGCTCTTTAAAACATACCATCATAGAATTGTAGAGTTAGAAAAGGACCCCGAGGGTCAACTAGATGATTCATGGCCGATGGACATCCAAGCACTGCTTAAAAACCTTAAAGGAAGGAGAGTCACTGCTTCAGGGCCTAAAGGCCTCTGGAACAGGAGAAAGCAAGCTTGCTCCACCCTCCATGTAACAGCCCTTTATACTTTAGTTATTGAAAGGTATGCATAGTGTGGATCTCATATCCGTGTTATGAGAGTGTAAGCGACACATTTCTCTCTACCTTTTCTCCACACCAGTGGTCTCCAAGCTTTCCTTGCCTCGGGCTGGTTTCTCGAGCAACGATCGCACAGAGGGCAGGGGAGCGTGCGCCCGTACACACACGCACACGCTATTTCTGGTGCACTTCCGGGTTGGAGGAGCACCGGAAATAGCTTGTGCGCATGCGCACTGGCCTCATCCGACCCAGATGTGCACTAGAAAACGTCCCCGTGCTGTGCTGCGCAGCTAAGAGCGGGTGGCCGTGGGCAGCAGCAGGGGGCGCCGCGGGCCGGATAAAGGCGTCCCTCAGGCCTTAACTGGCCCCCGGGCCGTAGGTTGGTGACCCCCACTCCACACCATGCAGAATTGCAATGGTAACCAGAAGGCTGGAGTTTGGAACCCAGCCAGGGCTGGCTCTGGGCAGGATCCTTGCATTGCCGGGGGTTGGACTAGATGACCCTTGGGATCCCTTCCAACCATGCCATATTATGATTATATCAAGCAGCTAAAGGAACAAAAAGATGCTTCTGAAACATTTGGGAATCATAGGAACACTCACCCCACCAGTGGCTTCCACCAAGAGCTTGCATCTTCCTTAGGAGAGAGGCATGCCAGAACAAGGACGGAAAGGCTCAGAGTTCAGGTAGGTAGAAATGCCAGTTGAGTGCCCTATACTATCAGAATGCTTCCTTCCCATGTCTCCCACCCTCATGTGCCAGACTGCTGCTAGCATGGCTGGGAGCCAGGCGCGTGCTGATTGCTCCATTTTCTTTGCAGCGAGGGAGCCTTTCCCCAACATATACTTGGTTCTGGCCAAATCCCTGGAGAGACGTGATGACCCTCAGGTATTGGGGCAGAGGGAAGGAAGGGGTCCTTGTGAAACACATTTGTGAGTCTGTGGCTTCCAGCAAGTGCTTTTCAGAAGCACTGCTCCCTCCAACAGGGGAGGCAGAGGATAGCCATCACGGCTAGTTGCGTTTGTTGGTTATAGATGCTTTAAAAGTAGGCACAATTGTATCATGACAAATTGTGTGTAGCTTAAGCCTTTAGAAAAGCTGTAGCTATTCAAATGGCCTATCATGACAAAGTTTAGCTGCTAACATCCCTCTGAGGAAGTGGCGTAACAAATGGAGGCTCTCATAGTGAAGGAGGAATCAAATCCTTACTATATTTAAGTCAGTGCAATTGACTAATTCCAGGAACAAGTTTCAGGAAAAACATGTAAGAAGGAATAATACTGCAAATCCAAAGGAATGGGAACATCTGAACTCTTGGTAATCATCCATTCCTTCAAAGCGTTTTTGCCCTGTTCTTCAGCCAAAAAAGGCTTCCAGAGTTGCTTACAAATGCCAATGGTAAGACAGTCAATTCCATGAAATTTGCAATCTAAAATACATAAACTGGGTTGGGAGGGAGGAAAAGAGCATATTTAGGCACTAGGTATTTTAACAAGTTCTTTTTATGATCAGTGGGAATGGAATGAATTGCAAGGTAGGAGCCAAAGGTTTCTGGTATTCCCTCAAAGTCTATGGGTCCTGCAGTCTTAACTCTCCCTTTGCTATAGTCTGATGGAATGGCTGCAGATTGATGACACTTTAGCAGGGAGCCTGATGGAGCTGGTGTTTCAACAGAGTTTATGGAGAGGACTTGCAGTCCTTCTGATGAAATGGCTGCTTGTATATGTCATCTAATTTAGCTCCAGAAGCAATAGCCTTTAAATAGGATGCCTTTGTAAAAAGAATTACAGTATGAGCAGGAAAGGCAAACAAACTAAAACAGATATTTGCAAGGCTCAGATTAAATCTGAACTTTTCAAGGCGGCCAGGAATGCCACATGGATCACAAAAAGTGCCAGTGTGCTGTAGAGGTTACAGTGTTGGACTAAGACCCTAGAGATTGCGGTTCTAGTAACCATTTAGCCATGACAGTGTTTTGAAGCTGTACTACAGAAAGCAAAGACAGCTGTATTGCATATGTACACTTAGTTCAGAACTAAACAAGTTGGAAAATGTGAGAGCTGGCTACTTTGTGTGTGTGTGCTGAAATATAAAATGACTATTTTTTGAATGCTGCGCTGATTTGCTCCATTTTACTCGAGAATTAGGGTGGAATGGAAGAGTATCATTTGTAAGGTATTAATGTCTTTGAAAAGGAAAAGCTGGTGCTAAGTCTCTACTAACTGCTTTTTAGCCCCTGGTAATTGTGCTTCATGGTTGGAAAAGCTCTGTGTTTGTTCTTGCCTGCTTAATTTCAGTTGCCTTTGTTATGGGTATTCCACTCCTCACATTAACCAAAATGCTTTAATTACAAAGCCATTTGTACCAATGTTGGTTAAACAAATCAGTGTTTGGAGAAAGCAGGATTCTGCCTGCAGAACTAATTTCCTCAGCTGGGTGGGAAAGGTTTGAGGGGGGAAATCCCCCAAAAAGTAATGTGGAGATCTAAGCAATCACAGCTGTCAGGACTCCAGGACGGGAGCAATCAGATACGTAATTATACTATTCTAATTACAGGGATTACAGAGATCGTGGCATTACAAATTGCATGAGCTGCAGGCATTAGAATACATTAAATGCTTACTTGAAAGCAAAGCAGGTGACTAAGCCAAGGATGCCCTGCTCTTTGTGAAGAATAAGACTTTGTGTGGAATTGATGACACATTCCCCTATTATCTAGATTGAATTTGGTGTGGAATTCAGATTCAAATGTTTCAGTGAAAAAGAGAGAAAAGTTGGACGTTAAAAAAGATTTCTAAGATAGACTTTGAAACCTGAGGAACCAGAAGAAGGGCTGGACAGGATTTCAGGGGGCTGGAGGTTAGAGCTTCAGAAGATGGCTATTGAGCTCATATACTGTACGTGGACTTCTCATACGCCTCTGGCCACTGTTGAAACCGGATGCTGGATAGGCCTTTGTTCTGATTCAGCAGATTTCTTAATGTTCCTTATCTCTAAAGCAAAAAAATAAATGCAAGTACAGTGGTACCTTGGGTTACATACGCTTCAGGTTACATACACTTCAGGTTACAGACTACGCTAACCCAGAAATAGTACTTTGCTTCAGGATGAGAACAGAAATCGTGCAGCAGCGACGCAGCTGCAGCGGGAGGTCCCATTAGCTAAAGTGGTGCTTCAGGTTGAGAACAGTTTCAGGTTAAGAACGGACCTTCGGAACGAATTAAGTACTTAACCAGAGGTACCACTGGTTTTTGCTCAATATTTGCAGGTAGCGTTATTTTTCTACATATGGTGTAAAATACGTTTTGATGATACTGTATGTGTAGCCTTAATGATACTGAGGTAGAGAAAAATGAATGAAGCTGTAGGTGTAGGCCAACACTAATAACAGGCCAGCATAACCTTACAGCAGGGTGGCAGCGTTAGCTCTGTTGCAGCAATAGCATAGAATCATTGAATTTTAGAGGTGGAAGAGGGACTATGAGAGTCATCTAGTTCACCCCACCCCACCCTGCTATGCAGGAATCTTTTTGCCCAACTTGGGACACAAACCCACTACCCTGAGAGTAAAAGTTTTATGCGTTTACCAATTAGGTTATCCTGCCTTGGTGTCTGTTCATTTCATTGGGTTTCCTTAGAGCAGGGCTAGCATTTGAAAAAATGTGGTTTTGTGCAATATGGAAGTGAAGCAGACCTTTCCCAATTCCCCAGCTCTTTGATCTCATTTCTTACTGATAAGCATAACCAATAAAACATGAAATTTAAAGAAATCACAAAATCTTGTACATGCACTTTGCTGTTCATGTTACACAGAGCACTTGAGATTTAAAACGTCTGTATAAAATTTGTGTTATTCATAACAATTCAAGGGAGAGCATAAGCAGATCTGCTACCTTGCATTAAATTCTTAGTGTTTGCGAGAGAAAGACTGCACCCCATAGAACTTCAGCCAACTTAGAACACACAGCTGTGATTGAGGAAACTGACCACTATAAACTATTATTAACCAGTGGTGTGCCTGATAAAGCAAGTGGTTGACCTTCCTCTGTAATACTGTTATTATTGGAAGAATAGAAACAAATTCATTGTTTTGTACCTTCTTACCACATCTAAATAAACAGTGTCATGAAAAGAAAGGAAAGAAAATGTACAGAAGTAGAGGTTAGTCAGTGTGATTTAGTGGTGTAATGGTTAGAGCAGGGGCCAGCAAACTTTTTCAGCAGGGGGCTGGTCCACTGTCCCTCAGATCTTTTGGGAGGCTGGACTATATATATTTTTTGTGGGGGGGAATGAACGAATTCCTTTGCCCCACAAATAACCCAGAGATGCATTTTAAATAAAAGGACACATTCTACTCATATAAAAACACGCTGATTCCCGGACCGTCCGCGGGCCGGATTGAGAAGGCGATTAGGGCGGATCCAGCCCCCAGGCCTTAGCTTGCCTACCCATGGGTTAGTGTTGGAGACAGGAATTCAGATCACTGCTCAGCCAGTCATAGTGTCTCAGCCTAACCTACCTCACAGGGTTGTTGTTAGGATAAAATGAGGAGGGGGGAAACCAAGTACACCACCTTGAGCTCTGAAGGAAAGGTGGGATATAAATGCAATAGACAGATGGTCTTATAATCATTGCTCTTCTGTCACACAGTTCTTACCTTTGAACCCAGATTTTCCATTTATATTGCCAATGGTGATGTTGCGATCTGGGATTAACAACATCACATTTTTTGTCTACTATTTTAATGCCATTCTTTTTCAAAGCTGAGGAAATGTTTCAGGGAACAAGAAGCAAACTCAGGTGGAGTGAGAATGGGTTGCAGAATATGTTTGGAAATTGAGAGTCCCATGGTGTCCTTAATGCATTAAGTTGAATAGGTGTCCCAGCAAAATGCATTTAACCCTGGAAGATTTCTGAAAGCCACCTCTCCTCCCATTTGTGATGAGTGCTTGTTTGCCTTTCGCACTTGTCAGTTCCCCAAGCAGCCCTAGAAATGATGAGTAGCAAACTCATTACCCCAAAATACAATTTGCAATTCTAATACAGATGTTATCCAAAGGTGCCTCTTGCGCTTTTATAGATCTCACCACTGTAACCCCCAGCAGGAGACATTCCATGTTTCACAATTGATTTGCTTCCTTTTGCTATAGCCGTATTGGTTCATTGGATGTAATACACATAGTTTTATCTCTATCATATGATGAATGTACATATCAGGCACATCAAGTTAAAACACATTAAAATGTGCGCCATTAATCTGCAGGCTTCATGGTTTTTTCGTTTTTTTAATAAAAAAAATCTGAGTGCATGTTATCCTTGATCCAGTTGTGCATTTTAAAACTAGAAACATTCTTATGTGTAATGCTTGCATGCTGATCTGATCTGAAACTGAGAAATTGAAAGATGAGGATGGTCACCATGATTGCAAAGTAGAATGAGACACAAAATAGCCAGTGGAATTCTATAATTCTCTTCCTACATGTTATCTAGCCTCTCTCTAGCAAAGGACAACAGACTGAATTCTTAGGGTTATGAAGACTGTTGTCTTATAACTAATGTTGTCTGTTCTTGGAAAGTGATATGTATATCAGTTGATTACTGTGATTTTAGTGTTAATAAATGGGTCCGATAGACTATAAAATCAGACAATTCATAAATGTTCAAATCTAGAAAAATGGATCATAGTTGATTCTCCCTATAACAAAACAGTTGAACATTCATAATTGTTTATCACTTTTGAGAAATACATTTCAGAAGCTGAGGATCCTGTACACACACCCTTGCTGATCTGTGATCCATATGGTAATGAGACTGAGGCAATATAACTGATTAGTGCAGCTGGTTATTCACAAAGTATGTCTCACAAAATTTTCACTGTGTTTAAGATTAGTGTATGACTATTATAGAACAGCTATCCTTTACCCTGGTGCATTTTGGGGGGAGACAAACCACAAACCTGGGTTCAGACATGGCTTAGCCCATAGCAGTGCTGCAGAACCAAGGAAGGAGCACAGTGGCCATCATTTTTTACTCCAAGAACCTACTCATTTGTGCTAAGTCATAAATCCGCTTGGTGCTAAATGCACACTAGGCCTCTGAATCCAAGTACAGGATAATATGTTTCCTTGATCAAAGTAATCCAGCATTCAACCTGTTCTAGGCTTATATGGAGGAAGTGCTTCTCTCTGCATATGACCAGATTAGGTCATCATTACAAAGGACAGAATCTGCTTTATGTTCAGGAGGCCTAATCCATTCTTTGAATTCAAATGGCCAGCGTTCCAGAAGTTGTCAAATGATCCATGATGGAATGTTATGATTGCAACCTGGAGATTCCATGTACCTAACAGGTCAGCAACCTCAACAGAATATATTATTAGTGCTTTATCCCCCTGCCTTCTGCCCAGGCAGTCATGGAACAAAATGAGTCCTGCTGGCTTAAGTAAATGGAAGAGAAGAAAGGACCAGTGCAGGGGAAACCTTTTGCAACCACAGAGTTCTTTTAAAAGCCTACGTGTTGCATCCAACAATCCTATGTTACATGGCAAACAGAATCCCAGCAGCTCGTTTAATGTTTGCTGTTTGCTGTGTTCAGTAAAAGTGTCTACAGTATCTGCTTTCTGAGCATCCTTATATCAACTCCTAAATCTCCTGTACTTTTGCAAGTATTTTGTGGATTATTTGACCCATGTAATCATATCTTCATTTTCTGTTTTCTTAACATGAATCTTTTTGTGACTCCTAATTCAGAGATACTAGGGACGCGGGTGGCGCTGTGGGTAAAACCTCAGTGCCTAGGACTTGCCGATCGTATGGTCGGCGGTTCGAATCCCCGCGGCGGGGTGAGCTCCCGTCTTTCGGTCCCAGCTCCTGCCCACCTAGCAGTTCGAAAGCACCCCTAAGTGCAAGTAGATAAATAGGTTCCCGCTTTATAGCGGGAAGGTAAACGGCGTTTCCGTGTGCTGCGCTGGTGCCGGCTCGCCAGAGCAGCTTCGTCACGCTGGCCACGTGACCCGGAAGTGTCTGCAGACAGCGCTGGCTCCCGGCCTCTTAAGTGAGATGAGCGCACAACCCTGGAGTCGGACACGACTGGCCCATACGGGCAGGGGTACCTTTACCTTTAACTCAGAGATAGGGAGCCTGTAGACTGTCAGATGTTGCTAGACTGGAGCCCACCCCACCTTCTCTGGCCTTGCACTGATGGATTGGAGTCCAGTACATGGGGGACACAGATGTTTTACCCCAGCATGCATTAACCTAGTCCTCCACCTGTGCAAGATTTGAGTGATAAACAGGTTTGAGTGGTTTCTGCAAAAAATGTGGAATGATTACCTACAGTCAACCTTCACCTTATGGTTTCCTTGTTATAGTGGCCATTCTGTGTCATGTACCATAGTAGTGATCTTGGTTCTGGGGCAGGGTTGATTTATTGTAAGTCCATACTTTCTCTTACTCATTTCTTCTCCGATCTAATCTGACCTATCACTTTGAATTACCTGGGATGAGTCTTGCACTACCTTTTTGTGTCTTAATTGCCCCCCCCCCCCTGTATCCTTTGTCAAAGATTCTTTAGCTATGCTTCTGTCAGCACTAGAGTATTACATAGCAAATATGTATTTTTTCCTTGTGCTTCTAAGAAAATAGTGTGCAGTGTCTGTCTCTGTTTCTCTGTCTCTCTCTCTCTCTCAATCTCTTTTACAATTTGCAGCACATCAAAATGTAATTCTATTCTGTATTTTGCTAGTTATGTTTGTTCTAAGCAAGGTTCATGATGGGCAAATCCTCCTGTTTGCCTTATGACAATCTCCCTGTTAGAGAGATAATAAGAACAAAATTAGAAGGACTCTTGATAATCCAAGTGGTCCAAAGTGAATGAGGAATGCAAATCAGGTGAACAGTTAATTACTTTTTGAAAAATTCATTATTTGTCTAGAGCAGCTGATTGAAAAGCAGTGTTGCAATTTAAATTAAGACTATTTGTTCATTTCCAGAATGAAATACTGTAATTTGACTTATAATCTGTTACAGCTTAGATGAGTAACAGTGATCTGAGCGCCCAAGGCAGCTTTGGCCAATTGAATAACAAAGCTTTCTGATGAAGCAGGTAGAGGTGAAATAAGGGACCTCTTCTTCTGATTCTAAGATACAAGCACACACACACTAGCAATTAATTGTTGTCACTGTTGGAAACACAATAGTGCTTTTATCCTACACCACTTGAATTTGCATATCATGTATCATTCTCCATGTTGCCCTTGGACATTATTATGATTGGTTGGAGCATAATACACAGTGATTCATCTTACACATGCAGCACTTTCCTTTTAATGAAGTTACAGGCTTTGCATATGAGTTAGCTTAGGGTGACATCACAATTAGAAAAACTATCAGATCTTACTCTATAGGGAAACAAGAATGTTTCTTTGCTACTAATGCAATAGTCTGATTCTTCTGAACAATGGGGTGTTTAGGAGGATGCAGCTGATCTAAAAATTTCCCTTAAAATCGCAGGAGTGAGTTACACACACTTCAAAGTCATTCTGGGACATATTGACTATCTCATTCTATACAGCTGCAGTTGACACATCCATTTTCAATTGGCTCTGTCCACTTATAGCAGTCTGTGAAATGCTTATTTATGCTTCAGACTTGTTTTCAGTCATTCTGATTTTGTGGCTTTTAACGTAAGTTAATATATCAAACCCTTTTACAGTCATGTTGAATGCAAAGCACTCTGGACAACGTAGGATTCTGTCTGTCTTGCATTGGCACTTGCCGTTATTTATGTCACTACTTATATCTTGCTTTTCTATGTTATATCTGAAGCAGCTTATAACATCATAAAAACAAACTCATAAACATTGAAATTAGCAAAGTGACAATAAAATAGCCAACAACGAAACCTAGTGGCCTCAGTTTAACACACTACCATCAGAAGTTTCAAAGCTCATGTTCTTGGATGGAATTAGTTCTTCCATGTATCATCTAATCTTATTTCAGAATCCTTAGGAGATGGCAGAGGCATAAACAAGCATTTGTAAATTGCATGTCTTTTGAAAATCACAGTACAATTAATTCAGGAATAGGAGAAAAGAGAAGAGAGGTACTTAAGAGACTCCTTGACCATAGCTCCTGGTTCCTTTCTCTCCTCTTCCATGAAAACTGTTTGTGGCCTGTGGTGAGTAGGCTGCTTCATGATGTTAGGATTGAAGTAAACTATATATTTATGCTGAATTTCATATACAGTGGTACCTCAGGTTACAGACGCTTCAGGTTACAGATTCTGTTAACCCAGAAATAGTACCTCAGGTTAAGAACTTTGCTTCAGGATGAGAACAGAAATCGTGCTCTGGCGGTGCGGCAACAGCGGGAAGCCCTATTAGCTAAAGTGGTACCTCAGGTTAAGAACAGTTTCAGGTTAAGAACGGACCTCCAGAACGAATTAAGTTCTTAACCAGAGGTACCACTGTACTACTTGACATTGGGGGGAGGGGGCTAAGTGGTTTAGGGAAATTGTAAAATCAAAATCAAATCTTGAAAGACAGTAGCAGGAGGTTGAAATTGAAACATCATAAGTGATAGAAAGGCTGGTTGGAGTGACTATGGAAGACTATATACTACTAATTTACTTCATGGGTGGTTAATGTGGAGCAACTCTCAACCCCAGCCAGAATGTCAAGCAGCCAGGGATGATGGGAATTGTAGTCCAAAACATCTGGAGATTACCACGTTGACTAGCCCTGGTCTGTTCTACAGGTTGAAGGATAAAAGTATGTGGGTGAGGCAGGGGATGAGGGTTATTGTGACTTGCTAGACATGGCCTTGACAATAAGCTGATGCCCAACTCCCAGGTCTCCTAGTTTGTGTCCCTCAGTACCCATCATTCTGTGTCTTGTAAAGCTGCTCATCAGACAACTGCACAGCTGCAGTTTCCCCCATTGCTGTCTCCATGCTAGAAACAGCTGCTTGTCATTCAGCTGTTAATGGGACAAGACCGGCTGGCATCAAAATTTGAGTTATGGCTTCCAAAGTTAATGACACTGGATTAGCTGGATGCAGAGGAGGGACTGCTGGTGGGACAATGACGAGCAGTCAGAGGGGGAAAAGGGGGCATACTGGGAAGAGAAGGTGTTGGAAGCTGAAGAAGCAACAGGGTTTAGTGATCAGGAAGGGTCTGTTGCAGAAAGCAGTTCAGAATCAAAGGCAGGAGAGATAGAGGGCCAGAAGACAGAGATGAGACTGGCTTCTGAAGAAGCCAGGGGGTCGCTCCCTCCTGTTGCAACCAGCTTCCCTCCCCCATGGTCTCCCAGAATACGAGAGAAATGAAGAGGCCAGAGCAAAGAGATACAAGACAGTGGAGCCTTAGGCTACTGGGGAAGGAACCAGAGGAGGAGCCTTAGAGAGCAGTGGGAAAGCAGGGGCCTTCAGTCCTTGCAATTGCCTCATTGGGGCAAGACCTACTGGGAAGAGTTGCTGTGATCACTAGGCCTGCACTGTTTTGGTTTCTTTGAATAAGGAGTTAACTTCACTGACACTGGGTGTTTTATTACTGAACTACTCCTGACTATGGCTCCTGTCACGGGGTAGTTAATCCAGTGCATGCATAATCTTGGTCGGCAAACTAAGGCCCAGGGGCCGGATCCGGCCCAATTGCCTTCTGGATCCGGCCTGTAGACGGTCCGGGAATTGCCACGTGTATCTGATTATGATTGTTCGGGCTGCACACACACACCCCCCAGACACACCACAGCGGCACCTCCACCCTCCCTCCTCCTGGCTTCTCCCCACCCTGCGGAGGAAGGGGACTGGGCTTTGATTGGTGCCAGCAGCAGCAGCAGCGTGATCGCTCAAGTGGCCGCCATTTAAAGCAGCCCCTCTCCAGAGCCCTTTCGCATGCCGCTCATCACCCCTCCCTAGCCACCGCTGCCATCCAGCCCCCCACAAGGTCTAAGGGACAGTGGACCAGCCGCCTGCTGAAAAATTTTGCCGACCCCTGATCTAGTGCTCTCCAGATGATATTGGACCAACGCCCATCAGTTCCAGCATGACCAATTATTGGGGGTGGTGAGAGTTCTAGTCCAACAACATCTTGAGGGCACTGTGGGTGTCTGCTATAGACCTCCAAGCCCAGACTAAGGACTTGGATGCTGCATTCCTACAGCAGATTACCAAACATTTAAAAAGGAGAGATATAATAGTCATGGGAGACTTTAACTACCCCAGTATCTGTTGGAACTCACACTTTGCCAAGAATGTAAGGTCCAACAAATTCCTCCATTGCCTCATTGTCAGTTTCATTTCCCTGAAGGTGGAAGAAGCAACAAGGGGATCATCTCTCTTCTACCTGGTCCTTACCAACAGGGAGGAACAGATCAATGAAGTGAAAGTACTGAGAACCTTGGGAAGAAGTGACCATGTTCTCTTGGGCTTATTTTTACAAAGGCAAGGCAAAGCTGAGTGTAGTCAGACATGCACTCTGGACTTTAAGAAGGTTGGTTTCAGAAACTTTTTACTGACTGAAATCATGGTCAGAAACACTCAAAGAGAAGCAAGTCTAAGCTGGATAGGAGTTTCTTAAAGGTGAAACATTGAAGGCACAAATGAAGACAATTCCAACAAGAAGGAAAAGTAGGAGGCACTTACTGTAAACTGGTGTGGCTGCATAAGGAGCTTACAGATGAGCTGAGATGTAAGAAGGGCATGTATAAGAAATGGAAGAAAGGAGAAATCACGAAGAGTATACACAAGTAGCCAACAGATGCAGGGGAAAGGTCAGGCAGGCCAAAGCTCAAAATGAACTCAGGTTTGCAAGAAAGGTTAAAAGCAATAAAAAGGTTTCTTTGGCTATGTTCGAAGCAAGAGAAAGAGCAAGCAAGTAGAAGGACTCTTGTGTGGAGAAGATGGAGAAATACTATTGAGTGACTGGAAGAAGGTGAACTGCCTAACATCTGCTTTGCCTCTGTCTTCACCCAAAAGGAAACTGATGCCCAGCCTGGTGATAACAGAATAAACAATGCAAGGAGGGAGCTGAAGGGCTAAAGGAGCTTGCAGATGTGATTTCTGGGCCTCTGTCTATAATCTTTGAGAATTCCTGGAGAACCAGTAAGGTCCCTGTGGCCACCATCTTCAAAAGCGGGGGAAAGGAAGACCCAGGTAACTACAGACCAGTTGACAGTAAGAACTATTCGAAAGTGAAACGGACTCCTTTGGGAGATGATGGACTCGCCTTCCTTGGAAGTATTTTAAGCATAGGTTGGATGGCCTTCTGTCATATATGATTTAGTTGAGATTCCTGCATTTCACAGGGTTGGACTAGAAGACTCTTGGTCTCCCTTCTAACTCTACCATTCTAAGATTCATAGATGCTAGAAACAGTTTGATCCCTCTTCCTTTCATTAAATGAACAGCTTCCATGACTGTTGCTGCTGCATATTTTCTCTGAACATCTTTTCCATGGGAGACCACTTCAGCCAGCAGCTGCACCCACCTCCTATGAATGCAATCATAGATGCAGGGCAATCTATTGCACTATATGAAAAATTAGAGCATTTTTATTCTTGTCTTTATTTTGATTCCTTCTAGGAGTTAGAAAATAGGATTGCTGATTAAAATGGATACACTTCAGCTTCGTCCAAAGCCCTTCCTGACTGGCAATAAGATTGACCTGAATCATGCTAATCAACAATTGCTGTATGTTAGGCTTATGGAAATACAACATCTGCACAAAAAGGGAGAAGGATAATCAGTTGCTGATTACAAAACTTCACTTTATTTTAAAATGATTTTGTGTGTGTGTGTTTTAAGGTCAATTTCTGTTGGGACAGGAAATATCAGTATGAGACTCCCCAAGCCCTTGCTCATTTTATATTAATGAGATCATCTCACACAATTGAATTAATATTTGCAATACATTTGATCAGACTGCTGGTCTTCCTATAGTGACTTGTGGATGGATACATTATTCCTACCATATAGATTTGCTGAACTCTCTTCAATTAGAAATTGCTTCATGTAGAGAAAAGTCTGTGTCACACAATCAAAATTATGAATACTGTTTCTGAATTGCATTGTAGACTTTCCCCATGAATATTGTGTGTAGCCATCAGTTAACTTCACTGTATACGGAAAGTAGCTAAATCAGTTGTAAAAATATTAATATTCCTTTATTTATCTTAATGCCTGATCAAACTTATTTAGCATGTATTTTTGAAGGAGTGTTTTGAAATCCCATTAGTTATTTCATATTTTTTTTTGCATCAGGGACAGTGTAGTCAGAGGTAGGCAACCTTTTGCTAGTAGTTAACTGAATCTCTGCAGCTCAGGACAAAGTTGACTTGGGAAACCTAGACATATTTTATATTGCATATTAACATGCTACATCTATTTGAAGCCTTTCTTACATCTTTTTAAATATTGTAAGGAATTTTGTGCGTCATTGCTTCCTCCCTTTTTTTGTGGGAGTATAGTGCAAGTTTCAGCTCAGAGGGCTCATCCAGACTTCCAACTTTCCCCTGGGAGAATGCGCTCTTTAGTGCTGAATCAGAGCAATCAGTAATTAGGTTGTCTGTGGATTGGCATTTGCTCCAATTCACCGCTAAAGAGCAGATTTTCCCTGGCAAAGCAGTGGAACAAACAGAACACTGCTTGGACATGTGCAGGACAAGTGGGAAACCACTTTGGACCCGTGCTTTCTGTGCACAAGACAAGTGGAAATGTGGATGTGATGAAAGTCTGCAGCCTCTGGTTATATCTACGTTGCCACATTCTACAAATAGCTGTTGAAATCTTTTGATTCTTTTCCTATAAGGATATAGAATAGTTTGTGTTCTTGCTTGGACATGAGATTTGCTCCTCGTCTTTTAGGCTTATGTGGCATCATGCCAGGAGCTAGATGCCATCAACTCCTGAACAGACTGCCTAAGAGAAGAGGAACTTTCTTCTTTTTACACAGGAGGAGTGACTTTTCCTAATATGTTACCATTACTTGCTGTAATACATGCCTGCACCACATAAATACAAAGTAGGTATGCTTTTTTTCCTGAAAAGAACTGGTTTGTATCCAATGCAATCTGTCTGCAGGTGGAAAAGACTTTCCCTTCCTCTCCTCTCTTCTGCACCCCTGTGTTCCTTCAAAACCTGCTCTTGAGTGTTGGGAAATCCTCCAGAGCAGATTTTGACGGTACGCAGATAAGAAAAGAGGAAGATGAAGTCCTGTTACATAAGTGGAAATTTACTCATGCACTGTTGGGTTCTGCCCATTGCTTTAGCTATATGCAGATTAATGCAAATTTGTCAATTAATTTGATTAAGATTTTTTTTAATTGGGTGAGAGCCCTACAGCAGACCAATATTTAATTTAATGTGTGTATGTGTTCTATATAAAAAAGACTTGCAAAGTGAAAACATCACTGCCATCCACATTGCTGTCCAGAAAGTCAGAAACCAAGGCTAGTGGGTAGAGATCTTAGATGAGAGTGAAAAATGAGATGACTTTGTGTTTTTGGAATCAGTAAATCATCCAGCCTCCTCCTGAAGAATCGAGCCTTTTATGGCTGCTCAGCCCCTTTTCAAAGACTGTTTTTCATGCAACTGGCAGGAGGCAGGGATCCAGCTGTTTCTCAAAGGACAGCAGGAAGTGGCAACCTCCTTGTTTCTACTGGTGGGTGAAGCTTGGTGAAGACTCTCACCCTTGGAAGCAGAAAGATCATCTGCAGACATCTGATGGGTCCCACACAGCCTCTTTGTAGCTATCAGCATGGGCTGGACTGATTCCTGATGGGCATAGAGCATGTGCATTGAAACCCCTGCCACATGTAGAATACTAACTCGAAATTCAAATTAAATAAGGATAATTAACAATTAACAAAAAGCTAAGCAGACAAGTAATTAGATATTCCCTGACTAGTGTTTACTGTAATTTCGTGACCCATTCATAATTAACCTCAGATTGTAAAGTATATTGATGAGAAGCCAAAGTATAAACTTGTATTAACAGTGACAGAATAAGGTGCCAATTAAACTGCATTTCATTCAAGCTTGGGAAAGCAAAGCTATAATGGGTTTTTATTATCTTCCCATGCTTCCCTATGCTTGGCACGTGCCAGAACGAGATTAGGAGTTGATGAAAGGGGATAAAAAAACTGCCTGATGTCTGTAGCAAGTTGGGGGCGGGAAGTAATAATAAAGAGGGTTTAAAGAAAAACAATAAAAATGTTAAGCAGCCTTCTGCTGTACAGGAGTGCATACGCATGCTGAATAGGATCAACACATGCATCCCAAAGTTAACCTTTTTCAGGTATGGCCTGAATAGCTGGGCTTCCAGTGCATTCTTTTTTGACAGACAGCCAGAAAGCTAACTCGGAGGCATTATTAACCTATCTGAATGTCATGTGCCATTCTATTGATATTTTGTTAAGGATAATCAATGGTGATAACTTTTTATTCCCTCCATTAAGTTTTGTTCTTCCTTGTAAGAAGCCACCTTCTCCATAACAGCAGATCGATTCTACAACAATGCCAAACCAAATGTGAGAAACTGCATTCCTAGGACTTATTCTTTCTTGAATAAAGCAAAGGGGTGTGTGTGATTAAATGAAACCCCTGGCTCTTAATTTCTCTACAGCGTGGATGGGGATGCTGTGGGATTCCAACACTCATCAACCCCACCAATGAGCATGACCAGTGGTTAGGAATGATGGAAGCTGTAGTCCAGTAACATGTGGAAGGCCACAGATTCTCTTCCCCTGTTCTACAGAACATTGCCAGTGACAGCTGAAGCTAATCCCTGCCCTGTCCTTTAACTTATCTTCCATTTAAAAAATCAGTTTATTAGATTTATATCCTGCTGTTTTGACCATCAAATCCTCCAGCAATTCAATAGATAATTTTAAAAGCTTACTTCTTACACCCCTCGCCTCATTATTCACAATACTTTAGTTTTCACTGTAGGTTATGGTTTTGCTATAGCCCATTCCTTCCCAACATCTTTCTACTATCCATCTCCATCTTGTAATGGATTAAAGAAAGCTCGTATTGTTAGCCTCACAGCTCCTAAGCACAGTTCCCATAGTTGCATGTCCTCCAGACAGTTGACTCTTTTAGACATCCTGCTTGGCAGCTGCCTGCTGTCTACTGTTCCCTGTGACAGCAGAATTCTCTTTTATGATACTGTTTGCTCAAAAGAATGCCATTGAAATCAGTGGGATTTATTCCTAGGTAAGTGTGTATACGATTGAAACCTTAGGCGTCCATCCTATGCCCACTGACCTGGAACTTGTACCTCTGTAGACATGCATAGAGCTAAAGCAGAGAGGAGTCAGGTGCTGTTCTACTTGTAGTGTGTTGTGTTGATAAGTATGAAATGGCAGTTACTTGGATGCTGTCCTTTCTACTCCCTTCTTCTTGGGATATCTTCTAATATCTGAGAAAGGGTCATAACTTGGTGGTAGAACATCTGCTTTGCATTCAGAATCTCCCAAGTTCAATCCCTAGTAGCCTGGTACAGCTGGGAGACACCTTTCCTGAAATCCTGGAGAGCTGCTGCCAGTCATTACATATGATACTAAGCTAGATGGACCAAGGTTCTGGGCAGCTTTCCATGTTTCTGTGAGGAGCCAATATAAGGAGGAGCCATATAATGTGTGTTATACATGTGCTAAAGTTGGTTCTTCTCAACTTTGTGTGTACTCCTTAAAGAACGGTTTGTATGTCCACACTACAGACATTTGGACCAATCCCCAATCCCTGCTCTATGATACATCCAGCTCTAAACCACTTACCCATTGATAATCCTTGAGTATCAATAGCTTTAACATTGCTTTGACAGCATTGCCCAACAACTGATGGTCAAATCTGGCACTAGCCACTTAGGCAATGTGATTTGTTTATGTAGTTGTGGGTTGGAAGTGTATGTTGAGAAAAGAGTATGCAGGTTTGATATGGTGCTCTTCAGAGTGTCAAACCAAACAATGCACCCCTACCCAAAGGAGTGTATAATTTAAATTAAATTATTACTTCAAGAAAGAAGGCTTCTTGGAAACATAGAAAGTTGCTTTATACCAAGTCAGACTATTTGTCCATCTAGCTAAATATTGTACTTTCACTGGTTGCAGCTCTCTACCACCTGATGCATTAACTGGAGATGCCAGGGAGATTGAACCTGAGGCTTGTATGCAAAGTGTGTGCCCTTGCACTGAGCTATAGTTCCTCCCCTTAAGTAAGAATCATGTCCCCAAACCAGAGGTAGGGAACCTGCCCTACTGCCTGACTCCTGTCCAAGCCAATACAGCTAGTGATGATGGGAAGCCAACAGCATCTAGAGTGCCATAGGTTCTCATCTCTGTTCTGAATGGACAAACTTCAGCTAAGAAAGCTGCCAGGAGAGGAGTTCGAACTCTTCCAGAGACTGGAACTCCTGGGCCTGGGTTGGTGAAGTCTGGCACCTTTGATCCCTGAGCCACTGTGCTGCAGAGAGTTTCTTTAATTACCGTATTTTTCGCTCTATAGGACGCACCCGACCATAGGACGCACCTTGTTTTAGAGGGGGAGAACAAGAAAAAAAATTCTCCCCCTCTCTGCTCAGCGCCCCTTCAGCGAAGCGGCAGGAGAAATGGAGCCCCTTCCATTTCTCCTCCCGCTTCGCTGAAGGGGCGCTGCACAGCTCTCCCTCTCTGCTGAAGCCAGGAGAGTCTTGCTCTCCCGGCTTCAGCAAAAGGAACCTGAAGCCTTCAGAGCGCAGTGTGAGTTTCCGCTTTGCTCCAAAGGCTTCAGGCGGCTATCCCTGAAGCCTGGAGAGCGAGAGCGGTTGGTGCGCACCGACCCCTCTCGCTCTCCGGCTTCAGCGAAAGCAACGCGTAGCCTCCGGAGCATGGAGGGAGCTTCGCATTGCTATCGCTGAAGCCAAGGAGCCTGCATTCGCTCCATAGAACGCACCCACATTCCCCTTAATTTTTGGAGGGGAAAATGTGCGTCCTATAGAGTGAAAAATATGGTACTTATTATTATTATTATTTATTCAAACAACTAAGCTGGGACATAAAGGTAAAGGTAAAGGGACCCCTGACCATTAGGTCCAGTCGTGACCGACTCTGGGGTTGCGGCGCTCATCTCGCTTTATTGGGCAAGGGAGCCGACGTACAGTTTCCGGGTCATGTGGCCAGCATAACTAAGCTACTTCTGGTGAACCAGAGCAGTGCACGGAAATGCCGTTTACCTTCCCGCCGGAGCGGTACCTATTTATCTACTTGCACTTTGACATGCTTTCGAACTGCTAGGTTGGCAGGAGCAAGGACCGAGCAACGGGAGCTCACCCTGTCGTGGGGATTCGAACTGCCAACCTTCTGATCGGCAAGCCCTAGGCTCTGTGGTTTAACCCACAGCGCCACCCATGTCCCTTAAGCTGGGACATAATAGAGGCTTAAAAAATTATGCATGGTATGGCTAGAGAATGTGGATAGTGAGGTTTTCCTCCTTTCTCATAATACCATAATTGTGGGTCATCCAAAGCAAAATTGGTAGTAGATTAAAGATTGACACAATAACATTCACACAACACTTAACTAATTTATGGAAGTTGTTGCCACAGAATGTGGTAGTGGCTTTTTACTTAGAAGGCCTCTAACTTTATGGTGCTGCCTGTTTTGCATATGATACAGCTCCCTTGCCCAAGGCAGCTAAAATTTCTGGTCAGTGCCTGGGTGGAAAACCAGCTATAAAATCCTGTATGTTGCCTATAACTTCCATGATAGAAGAAAAGCAGGATATCAATGCACTGAATAAATAGAGGGGATTAATCAGATTCATGGTTGTGCAATATTTGTCATGACTGACTAAATCACACCTCTATGTTCAGAGGCGATAAACCTCTACATACCAGTTGGGGTGGGAGAACAGCATAAGAGGACTGTTGCCTTCTTATGTGTATCTCAAGAGCATATGTTTGGCCACTGTGGAAAACAGGATGCGTGACTAGATATTCCTTTGGTCTGATCCAGAAGGGCTCTTTTATGTTCTTACTTACTACCAGCTCAGCATGTGAAATTACATGAATGTATAAAGTACAGGGTAAGATGGAATTGACCCCTCTGTGTTAGATATTGAATCTAAGGAAGATAGCCCTGTCTCTCTTTAGCTGCTATTGAAACCATAGAATGGGTCGTGTCCTTTGAAACATCATCTGCCTCATTATGCAACTAGAGCCCTCTCCCCCTGTGTTCTGACTCCTGGATGCCCCCACATTACCCTGTCTCGTTGGAGTGTGGGTCACTGCTGTTATTTCCCTCCCAAGTTACAAGAGCCATAAAATTATTCTCCAAAGGGAAATGATTGCAGCAGATGCCACCTCCCCAGTTCCCTCAAGTTCCAGACATGGATGTGATCAATGGCATAAACAAACAAGCGCATCAGCGCTCCAGCGTCTGCTGTGAACAAGGACAAGTAATCTTAATTAAGGTTTTGTCCCAAAACTTTCTAAAATATGGAGAGCTTGCACTCTCAGTCTTAATAAAGTGCTACAAATGAAGAACTAATTTATATTTAACAAGGCATTTACTGGATGTTAGTCAACTAAGGATTGATTTATCTAAAAACAAAAAAGTGGAGAGTTATAGCTGTCTCATCAGCTTACAACTGTCAAATTCTAATAAAAGTTTTAGTCTAATAAAAGTAATCAACCTAGTGTATGTTAGCAGGCACTATACATTTTGCTAAAGTGCTAGTGATCATCAGCAAGGAGGATTGTATGTCATGGGGTTTAAAGATTCATTTTATTTATTCACTCTGAAGATTCATCTCCTATCCATCCAATGCATTCAGTTGCTCAGACTATCTTACAATGATTATAATACAACTACTGTATCCTGTAATCAAACAATTTAAAACAAAGTAATATAAAAATGTAAACAAGCTCAGCCAATAAAAGACTATACAAAGCACCATCTGCCTAGCAATACAAAAGCTTACCAGAACAGAAAAGCTTTCAATAATAGGCAGAAAATGGCAAGGGAGGGTGCCAAGCAAACCTTATGGAATATGGTGTCCATTGGGTGCAGCTACCAAGAAGGTCCTATCTCTTGTCCCAGACAAGCATTCCTCCAGGTCAGGCAGGATACAAAAAAGGGCCTCTCCAATGGAGATTAGGGAGGAGACAGGTTATTTAAGATGAATTGGCCCCTGAATTTTCCTGGACCCAAGCCATTTAGAGCTTTATAGGTAATCACCAGCACTTGTGGCCAGAAACAATTTGGCAAGTAGTTGCAGGATAGGTGTGATATGATCCCATGCTTGAACACCCGCTAACATCCTTGTTGCCACCTGGACTGACGGAAGCATCCAAGACTCTTCAAAGGTAGCCCTGTATATAAAGCATTGGACTTATCCAGTCTGATTATATCTAAGATCTTCGCTGAATGTCAGAATTCAGAAAAGAATAGAATGAAAGTAGAGTAGAGAAGGAGAAATAAGGAAATGTGTTTAAGTTAAATGAAAAAGTAAAATTGTGCTAAGAGAATGGTTGGAAGTCAAGTCACTACATGGGTGTGGGTGTAGGGTAAGTTTATAGGTATGTATGGTATAGTTATATGGTTATGTCTTTTGTTAAGAGGGTAAGGTATGGTATTTTATTTGATTATATAATGATGTATTGAATAGTATTGTAATGAATAATGTATGTATGTCTTATATGTTTTACATGTTAATAAAAAATATTTTTTTAAAAAAAGAATGTCAGGTGAAGAAATAGGAGTACCTCTGCTGATGGAGTTCAGTGAGGTCTTCAACTGGTTTGTGATGTTTTCTTGAGGCGTTACAATGTGCAGCCCTTATTGCAAAATTTTATTTGGAAGGGAGCAGTTGTCCTGTTGGAGCAAACCATCCTTGGAAAAAAATAAGACATAAGCAGAATAACATGGTAGAATCCTAAAATGGAATGAACTCTTATCACTTCAGACTGGAGTGCAGATAGGAAATTACCTCTTTTGAATACTCTCTTGCATATTATTTTTTTTTAAATGCCAAACTCACATCAATGCAAGTAGAATGCTGGGACATCAAAAAGTGAAGTGGATAAGACAACTCCCCACCCCAATTTTCTAGTTGCAGGGAGATTTTTAATTTAACGCAAAAGAATAGTTTTTTATAAAAATTCCTCTCTAGATTCTACCACCACATTCTAATGCATGGGAATAACAAGCTTAAGTTTCCATGTATAACTGGGTAATATTTGTAGGACTAATTTAATTGTGTGTTTCCCCATTTCCCTAAGCTGTCCTTCTTTCCAGACTTGCTGAGAAAGCACCTGGGGAAAGGGTCATGCTGTTCACTTCGGTGGACAAATTTCTTAAACAAACAGAGAGATACTTAACCACAAACAGACTCCAGGAAGAGAAGTATCTTCCTGCCAGGGTGGGAAGCTAGAGAGTGAGTTCAGTGTCCCTGGGTGTTTACAATTCCAGCTGCCCTGACTATGAATTGCTTATTTTTGGACAATAGGGCACAGACACTATAATTTGGTGTGTGATCATTGACACACCCTCTCCTTTGTCTTCCTTTCAAAGCCAATATCTCAGGCCCAGATGGGTTAATACATAATGCAGACATGCAAGTAATTGGCTGCCTTTGTATAGCAGTCAGTCATAGCTCGCTGTCCCTCTGATCCACTATTAGTGGCCATGCAAACACTCCTTCCACCTAATTAAGCACAGCTTTGAAAATACCCTTCCCAATGATGTTCCAGTCCCAAGCTAGTGATTCACATATGAGCCCCTACCTGTTAAACCTGCAATCTCACTCTCTTCTGGGATAGAATATCCCGGCCCGCCCCCAGGTGACCCAGCTGCTTGCTGGGGATGCTTAGGACCTAAAGGGAGTGGGGAGTGATAAATGATCTTTAGAATAGTCTGTATTAAAGAGTTGGAAATGGGATGTTAATAAACCCCAAGCCACTAATTTAGAGAACACATGCTCTCCAGGCTAAACCAGTGCCCTGAAACAATGGCCAATGATAAACATGGCCTTTGCCAAGCAACTGTCTTTCCAAAGGCAGCTTTTGTGCATTTGTGTACCTATGCATGGTAAGTCCAGCTAATTTTTTGCCCTGTATATACCATTCACCTGGTGTAACATGTAGGTCTATTTTACTTAGGTGCTGTCCTGGGAAAGCCTGTCTTGTCTTTCTGCCAGTAACCTGAGATTTTTATAACTAAGTGTAGTGTTACTTTCTAGTATAGTGTAAAGTGCTTGTCTGAACTAGGAAGATTCAGGTTCAAATCCCCACTCAGCTATGAAGCTCCCTGGGTGATTTCATCTCTCAGCCAAATCTACCTTAAAAAGTAGTTGTGAGGATCCAGTTAGCAGGGAAAAGAACCATGTACACCACTCTGAGCTTGAAGGAAATGTGGATATAATTTAAAGAAAATGAAATGAATAAAAGTGTTCTTGAACCACTGACTACCCTTTGATCCCAGCAGAAAATATATTTGTATTGCCAATCTGTTATATTGATTAGGATTCTGGCATGTATAAAATATATGGTGATATTTTTTTCAGAATTGTGGTCATGAGAACATTATCTCAATATATTCCAACTTATCATGCCCAACACCTGCTCATCTAATGCAAGCAGAAATGATGAATTTGAACCACCAGTGTATCAGGCTCCTTTATATTTTGCTCATCTGCTAGTCATGTGTGCTGACGTCTCCAAGCGCTGCCCCAAGGACATCCTGAATAAAAACGAACACTCCTTACTCCTTTATTAGGGATTATCAAAAAATAAGAGGGAAAATTTGAATTTTGCTGACTCTGGCCTAGGGTGTAAGAGTGAAAGCTGAATTTGGTCTAATTACAAAGAGGATAATTGCCACATTAGGAGTCCTTGAATAATGTTTCATGTTACTGTTCTTTGCAGCAGGTATAATCTCATACACCAGGTAGGGTATCAAATGCCCTGCAAATATTTGTGCAAACTCTGCTTTAATTGTATCTTCTCAATTGGATGGACATAGTCCCTCTATCCAATCAGGACAATCCCAGATCTTGATTTTCACATGGTATTTGAACAGAGATAATGTTGCCCTCATCATTTCAGCCTACTCATTGTGCCTAATAACATTAATACTTAGCACTTCCCATGCACTATTGTATTGGAATCCTTACAACAACCTTGTAAGGTAGGTCAGTATTATCTCCATACTGCAGGTGGGGTGAAGGACCAAGCCCACCTAGTAAATTCATGGCAGAGGTGAGATTAAATCAGGTATTTGGTGTTTCAGAGAGGCTCTCTTATGCATTATGCTATTTCATCCACTAATAAAATTCAAAATATGCCTACTGTAATATAGTTTTGAGACTCTAATTTATTACTTAGTTGAATACATAATCTCATTAATCAGATGGTACTTTTTGGTGAAAGAAAAATCTAACTTGAACACTGGCCATTTCAAGACTCTCTCTCCAGCAGTTTAAGTAACCACTTTTCCTGAGGCTGGTTGTAGATACACAGGCAAAGTAGTACTTCAGAAAGAACACAGCCTTATAGCACCTCGGAGATTAGCAGTTTTAACATGGTATCAGCTTTCATGGGATTCCATTTAACATTTATACTGTTGTGAGTTTGGGGGGTGGGTAGCCTGTAAGCCTGAGTCCCTTCTAATTCCTGGACTCAACCCTGAGTTAGCACCTGGAACCCTTGGAGTTTTGCAACTCTCAGAGATTGTGGTGGCATGCAACAATACTATAAACTGCCCTGTGATCCTCAGATGAAGAGTGGTATGTCTATCAAAGCAAGCAAGCCTTCCCTGTAATGAATGTACTGCTGCAAGATTCTTGCTGTTTTTGGAGAGCTGTTAAGAACGTAAGACTGGATTAGGCCAAAGGCCCATCCAGTCCAGCATTCTGTTCTCAGTGGCCAACCAGATGTCTGTGGGAAACCCACAAGCGGGAGCTGAGGGTTGCCGTGCTCTTTCGACTTTTGAATCCTAACAACTAGTATTCATTCAGAGGCATACTGCCTCCAACAGCAATATCTTGTATCCTTGCAGCACTGTTCCCTTAGAAGCTTCATTTCTGCTTTAGCACATGTAAATGTGCTAAAAACAGACAAACATGAGAAGGAAGAAGAGCAAGGTAGTCAACATGGTGCTATTTAGATGTGGACTGCAGTTCCCATCATCCCTGACAATTGGCCTGCTGACACAGGGTTGATGGGAGTTGTATTCTAAAATATCTAGAGGGCAGCAGATGTGTCTTCCATGATCCTCACATTCTTTGCCCTTCTGTGTCTGATCTTCAGCTTTAGTCAAACACCACCTGGATGACAAAGCCTTCTAAGCTTTAGGTGTTTGCCTGCTATCACTAGCTTTTTACTCTTGTTTGTTTATTATATATATTTGTACTTTTTTTTAAAAAAAACCTGCAATGTATAGAACAGTTTTCAACAAATGTTTGCGGAGCGTAATAAAATCCACAAGCACCACCCATAGATTCTCCTCAATTTTAACCAAATCATCCTCCCTATCATCTTCTAAGAGAACAGTCACAAACAGTCAGGGAATGACCTCACCTTGTCATTTGAGCACTGCAAATGTTAAAATAATAAATAAGAAAACAAAATTCATTCAAAACAATGAAAGCAGACAGTTTTAAACCAGAAGTTTGATTAAAAACAGCAATAGGAAGACTACATTTAAATATTAAGAGCATGTTGGCTTTTAAAAAGTGTTTAGCAGTCATCCAGAGATTACAAGAGAAGGGACCAAGTGGATCTCTGCAGAGAGGGTATTCCACAATAATGCTCCCAAGCTGTTTATTAATCTCTGCACATTTTCTGTTAGTGGCCATACATCCTGTCATTCAGGGTGTTTTCTCCCTCTGAGAAGCAAGGTTTGTACTTCTAAAGGTTGCTAATGATTACAGAGGAAACAAGGCATGTTGAAAACCCTTCGGAAAACCTGATCCTAAATCTGTGTGTTTTTCTCATTTGAAAGTCAGTCTTGACCTGCTATATCTTGGAGTGGATGGAGGATTTGCAGATAATGTCCTACTGTCTCATTCATCAGCAGATCCCAGCTGAAAGTCCTTCCCACATGGGCAGCAGCAGGAGGAAGCACGCCAGTATCATTATTCTGCATTAATAGAAGGGCCGGTCTCCTGCTGTAGCATTTTCCTCTGTTGCCAATTCACATCTCCTTCAATCTTCCCTGACTAGTTCTGTTTTAACATGGACAACCCCCTTGAAACGTCTTCTTCACAATTGAAACCATTTCATTTATTTGTTTTATAAACAGAACTCTCACTTGCAAAATTGCCTATATGATTTATACTAAGCAGTCACTACATACCAGTATGTATAAATATTCAAACAGATGACTTTTCAGACAGCTGAGCAGATAACAGTCAACAGAGGAAGAGACTACGGGTCTCCCTAAGGATATGCTAATAGTTTGGTCTGAAAGGGATTTACATTCCAAGCATAGCCACTTGAAGTACAGAGCTTTGTATTTCAGTCATTTGTCCATGTACATTTTTGTCACTCACCATTATTCAGGACTTTGTCAGTGTTTGGCCAGGAAGCACCTTTTCTGTTCTTGCCAGTGGTTAACTAGCATAGGGAAACATTTCCATTTAATACTTACCTTTTTAAGTCAGCTGTGTGCTCCCATTCCAGATACTTAATAACCAGCAACATAAAAAGTGCCAACTACAGGTGACGGTTGATCCCAGTTCCACCATTTCCTTCCTTTTTTCTCATTTTCCTAGTTTACTAAGTTTTAGTTTCCAACCTGATGCATTAGCTATGATGGACAACATTATGGCAATGAATTCCTTAAGCCTGTGTTGTGTACACTGACTGGTAGTGGTTCTCTTTGGTTTTCAGCAGGGATCTTTCCCAGTCCTACCATGGATTGAAGACTTTGGGCAGGCAAGGATTTTACTCAGTCAATGAGATAAGATCACTCAGGTTTTTTACCACCCACACCAGCTTAATGGAGTGACCTGTCCTGATTTGCATTCCTCTCTTGGTCTTTTGTTTTTGTTAGTGCGTTCCATATTTTTAATTTCACTTCAGATGGAATTATGGAATTCTAGAAAGAGAATTCAGGTTTTACTGTTTAAAAAAAGAATGCATATGTCGTGGCATGTAGGTAGGGCAATAACTATGTCCAGACTTTTGCTTGGAGGTAGCAGTCGAACCGAGCGAGGTAGGAGTCCCATGATTCAGAGGCTGGGGCAAATGGCGGTAGAGGCACAAGTGAAGCCATGGTTCCGATGCCGACGTGGAGGCGAGGGATGGAACACAGTGCTCTAGCCAGACGGTCAGCTCTGAATTGGTTCTGCTCCGTGATTTCGCTCAGTGTTTCAGCTCCATGATTCAGCTCAGCTCAGGGTGGCCGCGTCTGGCTGTGCTCCGATGTCCATCGATCCCACCTTCGTTGCCGCTGTTAGATAGTGGTTAGACATAGCAGACGATGCAGCGATTTCTCCAAAGCAGCTCTTTATTTGTAAGCTGGAACAGAACTGAACTGCAAACAGCTCAGCCGGCCTGCTTTTATAGGCAGCCGGCTGTCAACATTGTAGCAACACAACCCAGGTTTCCCGCCTAAAGTAACTGACGTGGACCTGATTGAAGATTATATACCGGTACATGATACTCCTGGTGGCCAGGGTGAGAACTTCAATACATAACAGTTTGTACTTAGAGTCAAGAAAGAAAGGCACTGTTTGCCTCTCTATTTTTTCATCCCTCATAGATCATTTAAGTGCTCTTCCCTTTAGGTTAAACACCTCAGCAAAAGATAGCAGTGTTGGAAATACTGTATGGGGAATGCAAAGGATAATGTTTGCATGCTTCAAGGAACTGAGTGGAAATGCACTAAAGCAGGCATGGCCAAAGCATGCAGGAGAAATTTGCTTGATAGCAAGCCAATTATGACAATATAAAAATACAGTGGTACCTTGGGTTACATACGCTTCAGGTTACAGACTCTGCTGGTAGACGGCTACGTTGACCCTGGACTTAATAAAGCACAGTGGACCAACACCAGCTGATGACATGGCTCCCCAAATCTCTTTTCTGATGGGAGCAGCTTTTGCATCTCACTTGGAAATGAAGGACCCAGAGTCTGGAGGAAGACTGCGGAGGCACACAATGCCAGATGCTTGAAATCCAATGTGAAATTTCCACAGTCTGTGTTGATTTGGGGAGCTATGTCATCAGCTGGTGTTGGTCCACTGTGCTTCACTAAGTCCAGGGTCAACTCAGCCATCTACCAAGAGATTTTGGAGCACTTCATGCTTCCTTCCACAGACGAGCTTTATGGGGATTCTGATTTCATTTTCCAGCAGGACTTTGTCACCTGCCCACAGTGCCAAAAGTACCAAAACCTGGTTCAATGCCCATGGGATTACTGTGCTTGATTGGCCAGCAAACTCGCCTGACCTGAACCCCATAGAGAATCTATGGGACATTGCCAAGAGAAAGATGAGAGACATGAGACCAAGCAATGTAGAAGAGCTGAAGGCTGCTATTGAAGCATCCTGGTCTTCCATAACACCTCAGCAGTGCCACAAGCTGATAGCATCCATGCCACGCCGCATTGAGGCAGTAATTGATGCAAAAGGGGCCCAAACCAAGTACTGAGTACATGTGCATGCTTCTACTTCTCAGAGGTCCAATATTGCTCTATTTGCAGTCCTTGTTTTGCTGATTTCATTTAATATTCTAATTTTCTGAGATTGTTAATTTGGGGTTTTCATCAGCTGTACACCATAAACATCACAATTGTAACAAATAAAGGCTTGACATATCTCGCTTTGCATGTCATGAGTCTATCTCATATATTAGTTTCACCTTTTAAGTTGAATTACTGAAATAAATGAACTTTTCCACAATATTCTAATTTTTTGAGTTTCACCTGTAGTTGCTCCAGGTTAAGAACTTTGCCCCAGGATAAGAACAGAAATTGTGTGGCAGCAGCAGCAGGAGACCCCATTAGCAAAAGCGCACCTCAGGTTAAGAACCGTTTCAGGTTAAGAGTGGACCTCTGGAACAAATTAAGTTCTTAACCCAAGGTAGCACTGTATATCTATCTATAAGGTTAAAAGCAGCTTGGGATAATATGTTTGGACGCATTACGATGACAGAGAGAGAAATGAAGTATTAAAGAATCGAGGACTTAAGATTTGCAGGAGAATAATAGTTTTGCCAATTTCCTTCCAAAATCAGATAAACTTGATAAAGGGGTGGGGGAACTCTTAAGAAAAAAGCAGACAGGGTCTTTGAAATTTCTATAGATATTGACTTTGGGATACTGAAGTGAGAACAGTACACACATACTTGTATTCCCATTTCTTGCAAGGTAGCATGGTGCTCAGCCTGCCAAAAAGACTGCTTCTTCCTCTATTGAATTCTTTAGGGGAAGAAGCAGTCCTTTAAGTATGTGAAGAGGAGACTTAATAATGTAAAAAAAACCCCCACAAAAACTTACAGATTTCTCAAGCCTTCTGCGTGGGGGAATACAGAAAGAATTCAGTAGAGCAGTGCTAAAGTGGGCCTGGCCTAAGAGCATGTGAGTGATATGCTTCATGTAAAGCAAACTACAATAGTTTAAAAGAAGCCTGAACTGCTACTAGAAATAAATATTAATGTGTTGGTTTCCTCAAAGTAAATATATCTATATGGGGTGGGGCCCTGGATTGTAGAATTAACAGCTTGAAGGTTGTCACATCTCTAAAGTCTAGATATAGAAAAACCCCTGTAAAGTAGGAATAAAAACACAGTCAGAAAATAATGTATGGTCATCAGAGTACTTGGACCTTGTAATCTGATTCCTGTGTCCTGAGATAACTTCCAATGGCTAAAATTACCCATTATTCTACCCTTGGAATCTATTGGATGCCCTGTTATGTTACAAATACATAGCAAAAGTGGTGGCTCGGTATTGGGTAGCTAGGAGTAGAGATTTACTCTGTCAAAATTTGGTGTGATGTACTGTATTTACTTTCCATTTTATGAATCCAGGGCTATTCCTCCACTAGACTTGGGGACAGGTACTGTTTTCATTTTTCATCTTGTAGAATATAGTGCATTTTGCTCCCAGCTGCAACTTCCTTGTGATCTGTGCTAACAGTTGGAGACCGCATTTCATTTTTGATAATAGGTCACCCATCTTCCTTGGTTGCAAATGCATATCACTGCATGAGTTGATTAGATTGTCTGGAAGTATTAATTCCCCCCAAAGTCTTGCCTCCATATCCATTAGCTACTCGGCTGTGTGGCTAACAATTCCAGAGAGCACCTTCAGAGACACTTCATTACCATGCAAATAGAGACTGGCTCCTTTCTATGCAACGTAGCCCTAGCTGGAGGATTACACTATAGCTTTAAGGAGAGCATATGCAGAACACAAATTATTGCAGTCATCAATATTTATACAGCTGCTAAAGTTCATATCTGACAGGAACAGCTTCTACCACAACGACTTGTAAAAGCGAGAGAGATACACTGAGACTGAGAGGTACCATGCTCACAATTAGGAGCCCCATAATCAAAGTATTTCTGTGCTGTTGAAATAAATTGGAATTGGGCTGCTGGTGGGGATCTTTTCTAGCACTAGTTAGTCTCTAGGGGGTAAACTTTGGCCACGAGGGATAGTGTCCCTTTCTTATCTATCAGATTGAAGGGCAGCATGCAAGTGGTTGACACTTGCAGATCTCTATAGGAGTGTATTGTCATGCATGCTGAAATATATATTTGATTGCATTCATGTGCCTTAATATTGTGTCATGGCTAAAATTTATCAGTATTGTATCCCTTGGAGTCTGTTTATGTTCTGTGTTAACATACATCAATTTGCAGCTGGGTTTAGGAGGAAAGAGTTGGGATTTTACCTGCAGAAACCTAGTTTGACCTCTCCTGATTGACCATGGATCTAGCAGCTGAAGTACAGAGTAGCAGCATCACACAAAAGAGGGTTCTCAAAGGGGGTATCTAGGCTGCGGAACTCTGCCTCATCAGATTTGATAAATTACTTCCTCAAGTATCACCTTAAGATAACCATGTTTAGCCCCCTAAATTTGACTTTTAACTTTTGCAGTTAACTTTTCTTAATTCTGGGGTTTTTATATGTTGCTGCTGTTCTACAGATTTGATGGTTTTATTATCCATGTTAACTGAAGCTCACCCACTTAAATGGCTTTAAAAGGTGGTTAGATAATTTCCAAATCAGAATTATATTTGCACCACCTGTAGGGTTTAGCCAAGGGTGTCTGCTTCAATATTGTTTTAACTGATTTTGTATTGTTATATTGTAATTCATCCTGGGACTTTATGGTGAAGGGCAGTAAAAAAAAAATCTTATAAATAAACAAGCAAACATGGGAATATTTCAAAACATTGTCTTGAATGCATTTGTGCATAGGAATGGGACTCTAGGGTGTGATTCTAACCCCACTCACCTGAGAGTAATCCATATGGAATTCAGTAGGTCTTAATTCTGAGTAGACAGGGTTAGAATCAAACTGTTGGTGTCTTATAAAATTATTTGCAAAGGTGTCGGTATTTCAGAGCCATGCTGCTTATTTTCATTGTGGAGGGATTGTGCATGTCCAAATTCATAAAAATGAATTATAGTTTTTATTTAAAATGTGCTTAAAAACTGTATCCTGGTAAAGATACAAGTAAGATCACATTATATTCAAAAAATGCTGGCAGATGTTCTTGGCTTTCACTTCGGCTTTTAACAAAATTAAACCTACTAAAGTATGGGGACCAAGGCCATATTCACACATCTTTCCAAAGCATATTCTTTATATCTTTTAAAATAAATCTGTTGCATAAATTTGCCATGGCAAGCTTGGTGCAATCCTTTAATATTTTTTTCCATTGGGAATAACAGTCTAGGTTAGACCCACATTGTACTCAAATAGTTTTAATTCTGTCCATAGTTGGGACAGGAAGCTCAGTTCGCAAAATGTGAAAAGGGTTATAACTTGGGGGAAGTAATGCTGTGTGCTTGCCACTTTGAGAGCCAGTGTGGTGTAGTAGTTAAGAGCAGTGGACTCGTAATCTGGTGAACTGGGTTTGCGTCCCCGCTCCTCCACATGCAGCTGCTGGGTGACTTTGGGCTAGTCACACTTCTCTGAAGTCTCTCAGCCCAACTCACCTCACAGAGTGTTTGCTGTGGGGGAGGAAGGGAAAGGAGAATGTTAGCCGCTTTGAGACTCCTTAAAGGTAGTGAAAGGCAGGATTTCAAATCCAAACTCTTCTATTCTTCTTCTTCTTTTCCAGTTGGTGAAACTGGTACCTGAAATGAATTAGTCTTTCTACTCATTTCTACGTTCTACTCCAACTATCCAGCTCTTTACTTTTAAACAATTTGTTCCTCCAAATGCCCTCACCCCCTTTAGAAGAAACCCTGAATGTGCAATTGTGGAATAAATGAGATTCTTCTATATTTTCTTCCTGTAATTTCTCTTTGTCTCAGAATGCTCTCTATTGGATGAATTCCAAAATCTTGCTTCATTCTGTGTATCTGAAAGCTAGCCCTGATTTCCAATGGAGTCTTTGTTCCTATCTTAGCTTGTCTCATGCAAATCAGTGCCCTGTGTACTTCAAAGGCCTCTCAAGATGAGGAATTCTTCACACTACTCTATGATTCTTACTGACTGGGAAGGCCCAGATTACCTAATTGGTGGCTTTGTTCTTGATAGCTTAGAGACATCCCACTGATCTGAGCAGCCTCATAACCACACCTTTCAGAAAATGGATATTAGTTTGATTTGAAGTCTGTTGTCCTCACTAGGAGACCTTCATGTTTTAATTAATTTCTTCCTCTTTAAGAGATTAGGATCCTTATCCCATACAATTCTGGGAATTTAACAAGTCTTTTTCTTCCTTCACACATAATTCCATAGCATTATCCTTGGGCTAGCACAGTCCCTCATCCCACATGCATTCATTCCCTCCTGTGCTTGATGGTTGCCAGCAAATCATTGCTTTCAAATTGGGTAAACTATGGCTTCCTTAAACCTTAATTTGCTTGGTTTGGAAGTAACAGCAAACCATGGTTTTCTGAGAAACAGGAAGCATAGGAGTGAATTAGAATATGTAAGGGGAGGTTGGCGGGATCGTGCATGTCCAGGTCTTACTCATGCAATGGCAAACCATCATTTGGTGTTTCATATGAACCATGTCATGGGTGTAGTCAGGGGTGGCAGATTTCCGCCTCCCCCCACTCGATCAAGTAAAGCAATAGAAATACTTAACTAACTGCCCAATCATGTCAGTTCCGCCCCCAACCAAGTCCTGCCCCCCAACAAAAATCCTAGCTACTCCCATGAACCATGCCTTTGCCTTTTGTGTTATCTCATATGACCCATGCTGTGCTTCTAGTGTATATGTTCATGTTATTTGCATTATTTTTCTGAGCATTGTTTTACTGCTCTGGTTTGTTAAAAATGTTTTGATTGTTTAGGTGTCAAATGTAATTCTAAGGTTTCACTCTCTGAGCCTCAGAAGACCTCTGGATTTTCTGCTACTAAATTAACGGATGGAGTTATTGGTAAAAGAAAAGCTGGCTGGACTTTGAGTTCAAACAATGAGAAGAGCACAGATTTCTGTAACCAAATTAGTTATTCTCCCTCTATATCTCAACATTTTGCCCGCTTCTTTGGATTTTAAACACTGGGTGGGCTGCTGCTAGCAAATAACACAGCATTAAGGATTGATTGAAACAAGGGCTGTGTACACACCATGCATTTAAAGCACACACAAACCTCAAAGATCCTGGGAACTGTAGTTGTTGAGGGTACTAGGAATTGTAACTTGGGAGGGGGTAAACTACAGTTCCCATGATTCGTCTTTTGGGGAATTTGTGCTTTAAATGTCTGATATGTGTGCAGGCTTAGTTTACCTCATCCTAATCATTGTATATTAATATCACCCAAAGGGCAAAGACTTTGCTCTGGATCAGATGTAAATGAGCCAGCCTGAGCATTAGACCTGTGTGCTCACCCCTTCCCTCTAGTTCTCTTTCATCTGCCACTTGCTGTGGTCATTTAAAAACCCAAAACAGAAGAGAGTCCATGTGGTGTTGTGACTAGAGTGCCAGAGTAGGGCCTGGGACACCAGGATTTAAATTCCCACTTAGCCATGAAGCTCACTGGATGACCTTGGGCCAGTCACTGCCTCTCAGCTTAACCTACCCCACAGAGTTGTTGCTGGGAGTAAATGAGTAGGGGGAGAACCAAGTACTCCAACTTGTTCCTTGGATAAAAAGATGGGGTTATAAATGCAGTAAATAAATAAAAAATCAGTCCCCTTCTCCGCAGAGGGGAAAGTGTGTGAGCCCCAGGTGCACTGTAGGGCTTATTTATGTAGTGGGAAACTGGTTTCCTGTTACCTCTGAACTGAGCCTTAGAGGAATAGAAGGACAACTCTACCAGATTGATTTTGGACTTATGACAGTCGCACCAAAATCTCTTTCATATGTATATGAGATCATAGAGTAAACAGTTAATATAGAAAACTGCATTACATAGAAATGTTCTAACACGCATAGGTCCTAAAGAGAGAGATATTGCACATATCACATCAATTAAGCACGCACATATATAAATCATAACGAATATTGTGGCACTTTTAAAAACTAGCAGATTTATTGTGGTGTGAGCTTTCGTGGACTAGAGCCCAGTCCTCTGGAGGATATAAATTATCAAGAGCCTTCTTATGCATGCACATGCAGACCACTTCCATGCAAATATTTTAACATGTGTAAGCGCCCAGAAAGATAGCTGTCTTGCAACATTAAAAGCACCCCTCTTTCCCTTTCAGATAAATATATATAGAGAGAGATCATACACAAGCTTTCCCACGTGCATCTGGATGCAATATGTGCAGATGCCTTTGACACATCTGAGCGAATGGCCTGGCAAATTTCCGAGAGTGCAAAAGATGGAGAAAATGATAAGTCAACTGTCAATCTTTAAAATTTTAATGAAGTGAAAATACTGCCTGAACCAGCATGTGAGGAGGAGAGAGACCTCCTTCAGTTTGAACAGATTTAAAAAAAAAACAACTCAGGGGGATCAAAGAGGATTAGCACTCCCAATGCTAACACTACTGCTTGGAGTGATGTTTGGGAAAAGGCTATGTAAACCATCTGACAAGAGAAGCTAACCTCCTTTTGGAAAGCCCTGAGCAAACAAATACTAATCACAGAATAAAGGGACAATTAGCGGTGATGTCTCCTGTAATAAATCTACTAACAAGAATACAACCTTCTGGCCATTCACAGCCAGATCCCCAGCCTTGCTGTTTGCTGAGCAGATTAATGGGGACAAATCGGGCAGCTTATTGCAAGGGACAAGCACATTTCTTTGTCTGTCTTGACACAAGGAAGCCAAACCTGCCTGGAATTGTATTTCCAGCTTGATCAACGGGGCATCTGCTCTAACGATTGCTCCAGTTCCAATGTCCGTGAGTGGCACCTAATTTCCTCATAAAAGATGCCTCTGCTAGAATAATTGAAAACTAACAGTCAATTTCAAAAGAAGGACACAGCTAGTCCTGTTGTGACTCACACAGTCATCCTCCAACTTTGGCTTTCTGCGTAAATTATATGGCATGGAGTGCACCTGATGTAAATTACTGACTTAAATCCATTAAGTGTCACTTTTGATTCACATCTGTGAATGTAAGGGGAATCGACCCCTTATGCCAAGCCATGTTTGCTCTTGAAATGCTTCAGCTCTGATTTTGAGGTGACATTTGGTGCGTATGTAATGAGATTTTTTGAAGTGGTCCCATGATCATATATACATTGAAGAGTTATGTTGGGTTTGGGTATTCCTCAACATAACTTTTCTGGGAACAATGCCATGAGTGACATCCTCAGTTCCTGCTGGGTTTGCATACAAGATTATCCATCGAGAAATGATAAGGATATTATGTTCAGACATAACATGGCTGAAGATCAGTGGAAGATAATCTGTTTTTCATGCAGAAGGTCCCAGGTCCAACCCCCAGAATCTCTAGGCAGGGCTAGGACAGAAACCTGTCTAAAATTTTGGAGAGCTGCTGCCAGTCAGTATAGGCACCACTGAACTAAATGGACTAGCAGGCTGACTCAGGGTAAGGCAGCTTCTTGCGTTATAAGTTCCTATGTTTTTTTCAATGTAGCATTACCATTCTCAGGTTTCCATTCTCAACTTTCTCTTAATCCAGCCCAATCAACTCAGGGCCAATCCTCAGATGAATGCACAGAAATCTTCTTGGTCAAATCTTAGCCAGAGCTGTTATGTTTAAGGAACTTGGGAGCATAGGAAGTTCCCTTATATGAGATCAGATTAATGGTCTTGACTAATATTGTCTTCTCTGTGGTTCTTCAGGGTCTCAGGCAGAGAGTCTTTCTCATCATCTGAGATCTGAGATCCTTTTCACTTGGAGATGTGGGGGCTTGAAACTGGGACTACTTTGCGTGTAAATTGTGTGCTTTACCATTGAGTTGTGGTTCTGCCTAAAGAGCCTTAGAGTATATAAGAGAGGGAGTTCATTGTAAATCAAAGTGAAGCTGCAAAAATGTAAATTGGCTATATGCAAAATTATTTAACTTCTTAATTTATCACCATAGAAGCCTGGTGTATCCTTAAAGAATACAGCCTTACACACCCCTATGGCCATGATCTTGCACAAAGTCAGGTGCATGCAGCCTGTGCTTCTGTACTCTTGAATCTGTGGGTTTGGACAATAATCAAATAGTGGGTTTAGAAGAGAAGATAGGAGATGCCTCCAGCTGGGTTCCCTGCCCGCTGCCCCGGGCCAGAATATCAGGTAAGGAAGCAGTTAACCTCCACATTTTTTTAATGCAAACCAATGTTGCAGTGCTGTGTGTGTGAGCCTTGGATCTATATGGCACACATGCTAATACTACATTGTTGTAGCATTGCACTACAGAGAAGCAGATTCCCTCATGTCTTCTGAACCAGGCAAGGGAGCTCTCCAGCAATATCAGCAGCCAGAATAACCAGTGCTGAGCAGGAACTGTCCAGGAGTACAATAGACTAGGAGTAGGACTATGAACCTATTGCATCAGTAGCTTCCATTCAGCAGCTGAAAATCTAAGTACCTCGGGTTAAGAACTTAATTCGCTTTGGAGGTCCGTTCTTAACCTGAAACTGTTCTTAACCTGAGGTACCACTTTAGCTAATGGGGCTTCCCGCTGGTGCCGCACGATTTCTGTTCGCATCCTGAAGCAAAGTTCTTAACCCGAGGTACTATTTCTGGGTTAGCGGAGTTTGTCACCTGAAGCGTCTGTAACCTGAAGTGTCTGTAACCCGAGGTATCACTGTACTCAGCCTGGTTATTCCCTGCTGGCCTGGCCCTCACCTTGAAGTACTAGGGAAAGTTTGATCCTAACTGTGCTTATGATAATGATTCATGTTGACTGTGGGGATTCGAGAGCTGTAGGATGAATCCAGTGGAAGCATATCAGATCTACTGCATTTCAGTAAGATCTTTGGGATTGCCTCAAGGTGCCCTAGCTATGGTGTTGTATGGTTTATTTATATGTTCCTTTTGGGCTCAAAGGCCCTCAAAGCATGAACAACAGTAATGCATATTAACAACTTGGGACCAGTTTATCTACAAGATTGCCTTACCCCACATGTGCCCACTAACCTACCCAGAGGCTTAGAAAGTTGAGGTAATTTTAATCTGTTTTAGTATTTAAACTTCTGCATGTTTTAGAGTATGGTTGTGATTCCCCCCCCCCCTTGCTTTATCTTTCTGTAAACCGCACTGAGGCTTTTTACATTCAAGCGGTATATAACTTTCATGAAATAAATAAATAATATCAATGCAAAATAAAGATGCAGTAAAATTACAAGACATGCAATAAATAAAACAATATGAAATAGTTTTAAAATTCAGACATGAACGTTAACTATGTGATGATATCCTTCCATTCTCCTTTGCTTCTTCGCAGGAGCAAAGATATCATTAGAACTACCTGAGACACCATGTTAGATGTTAGGCTGTCCCAGGTCATCTGGTCCTGGTTCATGCTGGGACTGATGCTGATGTCCTGAGGATGTCTCATGATAATCCAGCTATAGGAGCTTGGCAGGTCCCAATGCTTCTGCACTGCCACTCAGGAATGGGTCTCAGGAGGTGGCTCAGTGGTGCTTTAGGGCATAATATTCAACATCACAGATTAATCATGTCTTAAAACCCTTTAAATACTTTTGAGTTAGGGTGGCTTAAGAATGTAGTTTCCATTCTTTTGCTGCATATTTGTGTGTGAGGATTGTGCACTATGTTAACTATAATGAATATTGCGGCGCAGGAAGGAAAAGTTTCAACGTTGTTTAACTGAGGATAAAAGGTGTGTTCTTTGTCCATGTCATTTAAGCTCCAGGTGCAGAGTTTTGTGAATGTGTCATATTTGGGGCTTTCCACTGTTTCATGTAGGAGACAAGCTCCATTGCACCTGGGTACAAGGCACCAATGCAGCTCCATATCGCCTAAGGTTCTCTCTTTGGCCTGCAGCAGGTTTGGGAACAAGTAGCCCTCCAAACATCATTGGACTCGCATCACCTCTGGCTGTTGCCCATGCAGGCTGGGGCTGAGAAGAGTTGGCAGTCTAACAACATACTTCTTGTTTCATGGTGATTTATGTGTATTCATCTAGATCATTTACTCAGAGTGAACACTACTCTTGGACTTGTCTTTAATGTCATCTTTCCATTCTGTCAGATGCAATTCTGACAGTTAACTGACAGCATATTTATCTATTTGTTTTGGCTCTTTATATCCCACCACCTCAAGAAATGTTTGATGCTGCTTTCAACAGTTTGCTCCTGCTTGATTCCTTTAACCCTGCATATTACAGTCACCAAGCCAACATTTGGCTTAGTGTGTTGTCAGAACCCAATAATGTGGTTAAACTCTGTCTTCCTTAACCTGTAGCCAAGAACAAAACTGCCTCAATCTCTTTCTGAGAGCCAGCATTTGCACTAAACCATAGTTTTTGCCTTAGCATTACACGCAAACATGTCCAGTGTAGCTAGTATAGTACTGAGCTAGATGGACCAATGGTTTCATTGGGAATGAGTCAGTGTCCTTTGTTCCTAGTCGTGGTCCAGATCCTTAAGGAGGAGCTATTGGTGATGGAGCATGTGTGTTGTATACAGAAGATTACTAGTTCACTATCTCCAATAGTGCTAGGAAATAACCTCTGAAACACAACAGATGCATTATCGGTAGATGACCCAGAGCTAAAAGGGGCTATAGTCTGACTTGGTATAAAGCTATTTCCTTATCCTTATGTTGTGACTTGGCAACATGAAGGAATTCCTTCCAAGTATATAGTTGGTGCAGCTGAAATATTAAATACACTTCCTTTGTTGCCTTCCATTTCATTTACATGTATTTTCACATTGCTGGCTACAACTTAATACTTGTTTGCCACCAACATTTATGACCAGACATTATACAAAGCAGAAAAGTCACATAGAGTCCTTTGGAGTAAAAGTATTTTTTCATAAAGCTTTTTCTAACAACGGGGGGTTTCTAGCCTCACTGAGAGAAGCCTTCAATTTCCTGCTTGTCTTATATACATTGGAAGCAATTTCTTCCAAGTTGTTGTCTGTGAACTTGGTTACTTAAGAATCCAGCCCAATAGGCTCTGTTTGAATAGCATTAACCAGAATACACGTTAAGATGCTACAAGTAATCTGGATAAACAGTGATAAGACAAAAGAAAATAAGCATTATGCATGCTAAGCACAAATAAATGAAACTTATTTGATAGGCCAACCTCTGGCTACAGTGGGAATGACAAAGTAAATTGGAGGAGTGAGATTGGAGCGAAGCGGTAAACATCTGTCACAGGGAGCATTTTACAGAAGGCTGGAATCGAGGTGAGTGAGATGACAGAACCAGAGTGAACGCATTTAGAAATCATCTTCATTTGGCTGGAGCTCATTAAATTTCACACTCAATAAGCAGGATACATGCAAGAATGTGGGGGCTGAATGGGAAGAGGGTAGATAACAGAGACACTGCACCTAGCCTTGGTGACTGAATTGAAACTACTAATCAGTCTACTCCTGATTATGTGGAACTGAAGCTAAACGAAACTGCATAACAGGACTGGAAAGGAAGAAAATGAACATGAGATCAGATTTCTTTAATAATAAATAATTATTGCATTTCATTGCCTTTTGGTCTCACTGTTCACATTTTTCCTGTATTCCCTGCATGTGTTCTTAATCTCGTCTGTCACTATAGATATTATCTTCCATATGAGGACAACACTTCATGCATCTGATAATGTGGGTTCAGGTCAATGAAAGCTTATGCCATAAGAAATCTGTTAGTCAAATTCTCTCTCTCTCTCTCTCTCTCTCGTGTGTGTGTGTTTGCTGTAACAGACTAGCATGGCTATCTGGAATTTAATCAGAAATTGCCCCTACTCCTGAATACAGCAAGAGGGTAAATCCTACCTTGCAACTCAAAGGTGTGAGTATTTCAGCTACCCCCACCATCTAACTTGGGGGTGGGACACTTCAAGCCCAATGACCAAATGTGGCCCCCCCCATGCTTCTCTATCTGGCCACTGGGACTCTTCCCCGGCCAAGCTCTTGTGCAAAATAGTCTTCCATGAACACAGTTTTAACAGTGAGTCCGTAAGTGACTGTGGAGGCCAATTCTGGATCCACACATCCTTCCACAGTGGGGACATAGGTTTCCGGGTGGGAATTGATCATGGTGAGGGTTTGCCAACTTGCCTTCCTCTAAACATGTTTCTCCCTTTCGTCCTGAGTTCAAGCGTCTTCAAAGTCCATGACACCTTTGGTAAAGGCCGTTCTCCAAATGGAGCGCTCACAGGCCAGTGTTTCCCAGTTGTCGGTGTTTATACTACAGTTTTTAAGATTTGCCTTGAGGGAATCTTTAAACCTCTTTTGTTGACCACCAGCATTACACTTTCCATTTTTAAGTTTGGAATAGAGTAGTTTCTTTGGAAGATGATAATCAGACATCCTCACAACATGACCAGTCCAATGAAGTTGATGTTGAAGAATCATTGCTTCGACACTGGTGATCTTTACTTCTTCCAGTACACTAGCATTAGTACACTGACACTACTCTTGTGCAAAGTAGTAGCTCCTGTGCAAAGTACTGGCAAAAGCAGCATGTGATGGTGGTTTTTACAGCTCTATATGAAATGGATGCATCATTGTCTCCAGGATAATATCTGCAAGCTTGGGTTATTTTCAGATACTTTGTATAACTGGTACTGTGTGGAATTATTCATAAAGTAAATGTGTGTAGTAACCATGAAAGAGTGGGAGGACTCTCAACATTAATCTGGAAGTGTGATTAAGGAAGTTCTGTAGATCAGTGGTGGCGAACCTATGGCACACATGCCAGAGGAGGCACTCAGAGTTCTCTTTGTGGGCACGTGCACTTTTGCCCCAGCACAGAGCCGGCAGAAGGCGAGGGCATCAAGTCCTCAGCTCAACTTGTGTCTGAGTAGAAGCACTTTGGATGGGGCATTGGGGTGTGTGTGTGCAAAACGGAGCCACAAGCTCCAGGGTGCGTGTTTTCCCTTGGGGAGCCTCCGCTGTGGGTGGGGAGGGCGCAGCGCTGTGCACGTGCTCAGAAGCATGCTGACGCGTTGGTGGGCCACCCAGAGTTCCAAGCAGCCGTCTTCCTCCTGCTGCTGCAAGGTTGAGTCTTTACACACCCTCCAGCCCATCCCTTGCCTGCTCACTTGCCGCCCAGCCCGCCTTCCCTCACTCTGAAAACGGAAGTGTGGCAATCAAAACAGAAGTTATACTGAGAACAGAGCACTTTCCGCTTCCGAAAAAAGTTCAAAAACCCGAACACTCATTTCCGGGTTTGAAGTGTTCAGATTCCAAGTAGTTTGAGAACTAAGCTGTTCGAAAACTGAGGTACCACTGTATTGCTCCACTCTCTCTCCACATGGATGCACCAACCTCCCCTTCTAAACTAAAACCTAGGACCCTCATACCTACGGGACCGCCTCTCCTGGTATGTCCCACAGAGAAACTTACGGTCTTCAAATAAAAACATCTTGAAGATCCCAGGCCACAGAGAGGTTAGGCTGGCCTCAACTAGAGCCAGGGCTTTTCCGGCTGTGGCTCCGATCTGGTGGAACGCTCTGTCACAAGAGACTAGGGCCCTGCGGGACTTGACATCTTTCCGCAGGGCCTGCAAGACAGAGCTGTTCCACCAGGCCTTTGGTCAGGGCGCAGCCTGACTCCCTCCTTTGGCAATCTTCGCGGAGCTCTGGCCCAATGGTTGCCACTGGTTTGAGTTGAATCAGTTTTATAATGAATGATTTTAGAGTGTTGTGTTGTGTTGTACTGTTATACTGTTTTATTGTTGTTAGCCGCCCTGAGCCCGGCTTCAGCTGGGGAGGGCAGGATATAAATAAAATTTATTATTATTATTATTCAGGTTAAATTACCGTGTTGGCACTTTGCGATAAATAAGTGGGTTTGGGGTTGCAGTTTGGGCACTCGGTCTCTAAAAGGTTTGCCCTCACTGCTATAGATGTACAGACATTGTTGTGGGTAATGACAAAATATTGTGTAACATCAATGATTCCCCTTGTGTTGTGTGTGTGTGTGTGTGTGTGTGTGTGTGTGTGTGTGTGTTGATAATAAAACTCAAAGAGTTTGTGTTCAAGAATGCTGGTGGGTTTATTCTTTGACCCGGATGTGAAATCCCCTCTTCCTTTCAGTGGTTTATTGTACCTAAAGTTAATAACCTATCTTAAAGGTTTGCTGACGTTCTTGACTCCCAATGCTGGTTCACCAAGGCCATGAACATTAAGAGCACAACTTGATCTGACACCAGGAGATCTATGATCATATCACTTGCTACTTTCAAAAGTGCAGTTAGGGTCACCAAATATGATCAGGATCATGACACTGGAGAAGGGAGGGATCACCTTTTTTTTTTTTACACCATTGAGAAGATTTAATAAAAATGTAGAAGCCACAAACAAAAAGGAAAAAGACAGTTGCACAACTAAATTGGGTCCTAACTCATTTCACTTTTCAAAAAAGCTACTTGGGACCACTTCACTCCTTTTCCCCACTTGCCATTTTCCCATTGAAAATCCATAGCTGCAATTTGCACTTATCACAGTGCTAGTTTTAATCTGGTCTTCTTCTCTTCCTTTTTAAACTCTGGGTGGCTTCCAACAAAGATTAAAAATACATTAAAATGTTACATATTAAAAACTTCCCTGAACTGCCTTCAGATGTCTTCTAAATGTCAGGTAGTTGTTTATCTCTTTGACATCTCATGGGAGGGCGTTCCACAGGGTGGGCGCCACTACCGAGAAGGCCCTCTGCCTGGTTCCCTGTAACCTCACTTATCTCAGGGAGGAAACCGCCACAAGGTCCTCGGAGCTGGGCCTCAGTGTTTGGACTGAACGATGAAGGTGGAGACGCTCGTTCAGGTATACCGAGCCAAGGCCATTTAGGGCTTTAAAGGTCAACACCAACACTTTGAATTGTGCTCGGAAACGCACTGGGAGTCAATGTAGGTCTTTCAAGACTGGTGTTATGTGGTCTCGGCGGTCGCCTCCAGTCACCAGTCTAGCTGCCGCATTCTGGATTAGTTGTAGTTTCCGGGTCAACAATGCATTAAGGTATAGTCCTTGATTGAAAGTAGATTGAAATAGTTTCCATCTCTTCTCTTTTAGCTGTGGTGGGGTGGGCAGGCAGTGTTTTCCTATGACTAATGGCTAAAAACAAACAGATTGAACTACTTTGGGCCTAAGGACAACACTTCACAAAACTGATAAAGCAGGCTCTGACCCACAAAAGGCTCCTTTCTGTTATAATAAATTTAATAATCTTTTAAGGATTTGCTGCAACAGGCTAACATAGCCATCACTCTGTAATCTATCTTTAAAGTTTACAGTAACACTTCGGATCAAACTCATAACTATGATCAGCTATAGCTAAGATTTTCAAAAAATCTGTATGGCTTTAATAGTTGAAAGCCATGATAACGGGAGCCAGTTAAGGTCACTGGTCAAGGGCTCAAGTGACAGTTGCTTCCACATACCATAATGTAGTAACAATTTCTGCTTTTCACCGATTTATTGCTGAATTTGTCCTGTCAGGAAGCAGACCAATTCAGAGCAGTGATTTAAGGAAATCTTTTAATAAAGGCACTTGGCAGAACTCCCCACTTGTCACCTTGCACAGCATTTAATATTCCAGTGTAACGTGACTGTTCATTTCTATTACAGTGGAGAATAATTGTTTTGATAATTGTTTGATAACGTGTTATTTTCAGGTAATTTATTTCTACTTTTTCCGCGTGGTGGATTCTCCTGTGTCCCTGGAGCAAGGAGAGCTGCTGCAGGAGAAATGGAAGGCTTTGTATTACTTTGGAATTAATATTTATTTGGTTTCTTCACTTGCTCAAGAACAAGAGACTCCATGAATAATACATAGGCCCAAAGATGCCAAGATAGGAGGCTTTATATTCTGAATGCCAGTAGGATCCAGAAAACTTAAATCAAAGGTAAGAATCATCATTGTCGGGTGCATCAGGCATGGCTCAGGCAAATGGGAATTCGAGTTCACTTCAAGGCCTGTGTTTTTTTAAAAAAATAAATATGAAGGCAGATCCATTATTATCTTGGGGTAAATGGGAGTAGGAATGACCTGGGAAAAACAGACCACTGGAATGAAATACAGATTCAAAATTTGAAATGCACTGGAAAATCTCCCTAGGAGATTTGCATGTTGCTTTCTTGACTTGGATGTATGACTCCTGAGTGTAAATTACTGGGCATGTTTCCTAGCTTCAGATACTTCCCTGTTATGTATTTTACTTTATATATGGTCCCAGAACATGATCTTAAGGCACATGATGCAACATCCTTGCCAGAGCTAAATAGGTCAGGGTCTTGATTAGTGTCAGGATGGGAAACCACTGCCTGTTCCTCTGGTTCAGGAAGAGAAGCAGCTCAGTCTATGATATATGAGCTGGAGGCTCCAACCTTTTCCTGATCAGGACAGGTGTTTTCATGAGCTTCCCTAGCCTGAGTAATTTCATATGTGGTGGTGGCCCTGAAGCTCTTCCCCGGTTGACTGTCTCCTCTGATCCTGTGAATGTTGAGTGGGTGACCTGAGAGCAAGTCAGGAACCCATGCAGCTGTTGTGCTGTGCCCTCCAATCCTGTGGCAGCAGTGTCTAGATCCAACAGCTTTTCAGGGTTTCCAGTGGTATGGAGATCTGCTTCGTTGTCCTGCTCTGTGTATGGGGATACCTCAAGTTCCAGAGATGCCATCTACCTGGGAATCCCATGCACACTGCATATAATAGAAGAAAGACAGGGTATAAAAGTAATAAATAAATATTAGCAGAATAATGTGTCTTACAGCTAAGAATTTTGCAGAAATGTAAAGGCCCAATGTAACCTCAGATAACTTCCCAGCTTCAAAAGGGGAAATGACATGCTGTTGATCCTAAAGGCTGCTTTTTCTTAGTACAAGAAGTGGTGTGTAGTTGTTTTTAATGCCTGCCTGCTACACATCCCAAGAGAAACTCCAGCTTAGCTTTTGGGTGACATGTTTTCCTTTGTTATCTCACATCAGTCCTGACACTGAAATTAGTCCGCTAATGCAGCCATCATGGTGCAACAAGATAAAGGGTCAAAAGATGCAGACATTTCTTATCACCCACTGGGTGGATAGATGTGAGCTGGTCAATAAGTGCTTAGTAATGTGTTCACGTTGTATGGAGCTTTTGAACTAATAGACATGTCAGCATAGTCCAAGAAGCTGATGTTTGTACATTTGGGATTGGCGTTGACATTCCACTTCTTCCAGTCTTGCTCTTCTGAATGTAATAAGCAGAACAATTGCTTCTCTGATCAATCATCTTGTTCCAAGTTGCTTTCTCTCCACCCCCCAAACCTTCCCTACGCTTTCTTTCATCAAGGGGTGCCTGATAAACACCATGTTTCACTAAATGAAAGGATAAGTGATGAGGCACTATCTATTCTGAGACTTCTTATTGAGAGAGACATGAAATTAAGGCATGAACATCATTGATGATAAGTCTACTTGGTTTTTGTAGTTCCCAGAGCATGAAATTATTGGGGATTTCCTGGTGCATCTTCCTTACTTCATGCCTTTCAGATTCTATAATATGCTGGATAATGCAGGCAAAACTAGACTGCATGCAGTTAATTGAAATACACAAAGCAGAGTGAGTTCCTATCTCATCAGTAAGGTGCAGTGTACTGAAATCTGAATTGTGCCGATCACTTGAGTCACTGTGTCTGTTTTCCAAAAATGACTGAACAGTTGCATCATCTATACAGCAGTTGTGTTTGCCATGATAAATCCCCAAAGTGGGAAAGAATGGTACATGTCTCAAAACACTTTGGGTTCTGTTATTGGCAGCCTTGAGCCTTTCCGTTATCCTGGAAAGGTTGGGGAGCTAACCCATTAGGCAAGGCGCAATCTATAGCAAAGTTTGCTTAAAGCAGCGGAGCAGCTGTCCAGCACAGCAATCCATGCCAGAGCAGAAGCATCAGCCTAGGTGAAGGGCATGAAACCTTTTTGGCTCTGTCAGCCAGATCCTAGCCCATAGGCCAAACTTGACATCACAGTGCCATCGGGCAATTGGGCACTTTCAAAGAGGGGCTTTCAATTGGGTGCTTACAAAAGGCTTGTAAAGAGCACCCAAGGCTTCCATTTTTGCACCCTATTAGTTGCCTATAACCTAGACAATTAATAAACTAGACATATAAGTTGCATACAGTACAGTATTTCAAGACTTGCCAGCATTGCCTGTGCAGCTTTGGTGACAGTTCAGAAAATGCAGTTAGTACAAAAATGTAGTAGCTGGACTGCAACTGGGGACTACACACCCAGTCTTGCTCATATTAAAAGAGCCTCACTGGCTGCTGATCTATTTCCAAGCCTGATATAAAGATGCTAGTTCTAACCTATAAAGACCTAACTGGACCCAGGTATCTCAAGGGAAACCTGCTGCTCTGTCAACATGCACACATACTGAGGTCATCTGCTGGTGGCATTCTCTAATGACACTGCTATCAGAAGAGAGCTCACTGGAAAGACAGATCCTGAAGCTGAGGCTCCAATACTTTGGCCACCTCATGAGAAGAGAAGACTCCCTGGAAAAGACCCTGATGTTGGGAAAAATGGAAGGCACAAGGAGAAGGGGACGACAGAGGATGAGATGGTTGGACAGTGTTCTCGAAGCTGCTAACATGAGTTTGACCAAACTGCGGGAGGCAGTGGAAGACAGGAGTGCCTGGCGTGCTCTGGTCCATGGGGTCACGAAGAGTCGGACACGACCAAACGACTAAACAACAACAAATCAGAAGAGAGGCAGGTAGTGGTCAGAAGACGTCTGCTGTGGTTCCCCCATTGTGAAGCTCTCTCCCCAAGGAGACTCAACTGGTGCAGGACAGACAAAAAAAAGATACTTCTGCACACAATGCATAGTTCATTATGGAATTTGCTCCTACAGCAGGCAGTGATTACCACCAACTTGGATTGTTTTAAATGAGGATTGGACAAATTCATGGAGAATAAGGCTATCAATGGCTTATTAACCCTGAGGACTATATTATACCTCCACTGTTGGAGGCCGTACATATGCCTCAATACTAGCTGCTGAGAATCGTGACTGGGATGAGTACTATTAGGTCCTGCTTGTGTGCTTCCCATAGACATTTAGCTTGTCACTGTGAGAACAAGATGCTGGACTAGATAGGTCACTGCCCTGATCCAAAAGGCTCTTGCTTTTTTATTGTCCAGGCACTAGGGTAAGACCCTTTTGTTCACCTAAGGTTTTTAGATAATCTAGTTGGTTTTTTAAAACTATAGTTTGGACAGAATAGGTCCATTGTTAATTATATTTTTATGTGATTGTACATTGCACTTAATTCAATTTATATAGGGTGATATATCCATTAAAAATAGATTTTAAAAAATGATGGGGAGTTCACATATACTAACTGTTGCACCCATTCTTAAGAAGGGCTAGCTTAAAGTAGCATATTAGCATTAATACATTTCCCACTGTCATAAAAGGCAGAAATACATTGTTAATTTCCACCCTTATTTTAATTTGAAACTGATGAAGAAAGGGATCTGTGCAGCCTGGAATCCTGCTAGTTCAAAGGGATTAATTAAAATAAATGCTTATTTCATCTCCCTTGTAATTTATTTAACAAGGCTCTATAGTATAGGTAAAACAACCATAGTAGCCACCCTGAGAGATAAAGGTATCTCAAAGTATGAGGGATGAGTTTCAGTCTTAGACATTATTGTTTATGGATTCTGGAACGGAACTGAATTTGCTCTGAAAGCAGCAGTTGAACCCACACAGATGTTAAGAAAAATCTGATACTGACAAACTGTTAGCTGATCTTTAATTAGTTGCCAGGTTTGGAAACTGGAGAGAAACCTTACAAACATGGCTCATTGTAGGCAAGTAAGTGTGTCCTTTATGAGTTTGCAAATTGCTTAATAGAGAAGCGGAGCTCTTTGATAAAATAAGCAATGGGCAGATTTTCTTGCTCAGAATTTGCACATACAAGAGACACTTTGAAGTACTCAGGTGGACCTGTTTACCTGAAAGGACTACACTCTTTCAAAAGAGACACTTTGTGTTGATGTAGATGTTGACACAGCATGCTGGCACCAGGTTGGCGAAGGCCACTCCAGATGATTTCCCCAATGCTACTCTCTGCTTTGAAAGTTCAGGGTCCTGGGCAGTGATTCTGGTAAAGCTCTGAACTTCTACTTTCAGAGGCTTGGAATGATCAGAAAACAGTGCTAACTCTAATGAATAAAAACAGCATGAAAGGCTTTTAATTTTGCTTGGGCCAAAAATTCTGAACCCCAAGAAAGTTTCTTTGGCAAAACATTGTTGCTAGTTCACAAATATACCTGTTTCTATAGGATCTTACATTTAAAATTAAGAAAGCCTTCACAGTTCTAAAGACAAAGGTTCCAATTTTGTTCAGGCCTTCTAGCTTTGGAAAAAGCATCTACACTTTTAAATATTTATTCACAATTTACCCTGACAGCTAGAAATGTGATTTTTAAAGCCAGCAACTCAACTGAATACAACTCTTGAGTTCCTATGTGTGTATGGAACATACTAACACTCAATTCATGCTATCCTTTCAAATCATAGTGTTGTGGAACTATTCACACAAACTATCTCTTCACAGGAAAATGAAAGTTGTTTTTTTTTTTAAAGCATCCCTTACTATATTAGAATTATGAAAAAGATCCTAGATTGCATTGTGTGATTTGTGATCTAGATTTTTTAATCCTAGGCATTTTTCCTACAATATGCTTTGCAGCATGTACACATGAATAATTTTCATCCCTGCCCATTCCTCTCTTTATTAGTAATCCCACTGAGCCCTCTTTGTCCCTCTTCATTCTACATTTCCACCCCCCACTGTCTTGCTCTTTTCAAATGTAATCATTAATATCAGAAAATTAACTGATTCAAATGAGCGCAATTGTCTGTGCTTTGAATATTCCCAGGGTTGCATCCAGGGGTGGCACTCACACATCTCATTTGCATCTCAGAGAAATGGGCTCATCCGGTTAAATGTTATGTTAAATGCACCACCTTCTGATATGTGTGAAGCAATGTATTAATAAACTGGGTAATTGTCAATTAGACATTCTAGAGGCATTTCGTTCACAATGGAGAGAACTGCAAATTTTCTTCTGGTGGAAGGCAGCACAGATCTGAAGTCCAAGAAGCTGCCCCCATTTTAACAGTGTGGCTGACAACACTATCCTATACACATCTACTCAGAAGTAAGTCACTTGAGTTCCATTGGGTGTACTCCTAAGACAGTGAATATAGGATTAGAGCCTTAGTAGACAGAGTAGTCAAACCTCTGTTCAACAATGCTATCAAACCTCTGTTCAACAATGCAGGTGATAAGTCCCTAACTCTCACCCTAACTCAACTCGGAGAGATGCAAAGAAGCAGGGATATCATGTATGCCATTTACAGCTCCTTGTAGGATGGAAGATATCAAAGTGTAATAAGTAGTATTGGCAGATACTTTGGCTAATTCCTGTTCTGCTCAGAAAAGCCCCAGATTTTTTGTTTTTGTTTCCAACCTTGTGAATGCTGTGGACTTTCATCTAAATTTGCAAAAAGAAAAAGAAAGAAAGAAAGAAAGAAAGAAAGAAAGAAAGAAAGAAAGAATTTGAGGAATGAAAACATATATCAGGGAACACCTTGAATTAAATATACATTTAGAAATCTTCACAGACCTATGTAGCATCTATTTACTTGCAGCTATTATAGCCAATGGCATGTTAGCATGCTGCCTATAGTGCATATGCATTATAGACTGAGCCCCTGTCCAACACAGAGTTGAGTGTACCTTGACCCACTGAATTCAAGTACAGTTAATTCTGCATTGGATTGTATTCAGGATGTCTACTCATGGCCTGCTCTCTGAATGTCAGTGCTGAGCCATAGCCATTGAGTGGGTGCTTATGTCTAAGTGTCAGAGCCTGAGAATAAGCGGTCTGAATTGGTCAGGGCTATTGTTCTCCATGCAAAATCTGAGAGTGAACAGGAAACCTTTATAGGCATTCATGTTGAGCAGAGGCTAGCCAATTGTCAGCCTTGGTGTGCAGAGTCATTCTGGTACCTGGGGTGCTACAGGGCCTTCCCTATAGGTCACCAGATGGGGGAACTGGGCACAGAGCTGTGGCTTCTATTGCGGCTTCTGACAGCCCTAAAAAAGGAGAGGTGGCATGCATTTTGTAACAAATGGGGGACGAGGGCTTGCCTTTATCTGGTCTTGGCAACCGGCTCCTCTTTGTGGGATGTAACATCACTGAAGCAGTCAAATACAACATTTCCTGTTTGCCCAGAGTGTACACACTGGGGAATGTTGCTCCAGCCAGGAGGAATTCCTGTCACGCCTGGTCTGGAGCATTCTCCCCCTGCGTGTAACCAGGTAGATGGGTGTGACCCTGGCAGACCATACAAAAGGGCCAGTCATGCAGCCCTCTCTCTCTCTTGATCCCTTCTCTCTATTTTGCCTTTTGCTGTCCGCTGGCTCTCAACCAGCAGCACATGGGCTCATCCCTCACAGAGGATGAACCCACACTTTTCTCTGTAACTACAAGCTAAAGCCTGCCTTCAGGACCATACTGTGAACTGAATGTAAGTAAACCTTATCATTACTTTTAGAAGAAGACTATTGTGCCGTTATTGTTTTTAAGAGGGAACTAAAGGGGATTTACCAGGACCAAGCCAATCTGGACAAGCCAGACTGAATTGCTTAACTCAAATGATTCTCCTGAATCCATCAACTAGCTTCCTGCAGTGTACAAAGGAATGTGCTCTGCTACTAGCTCACTAACTTGAGCGAGGAATGATAATATTTAATCAATATATCCTCTCCTACTATCCTCAACATTCCCACACTCTTGACCACTGGTTTATTTTTACAGAGTACCCTGAATGTTTCGTTATCCCAAAGCATTCTTGAGGGTGAGTGGGGAATGTCAGCCTCTACAAAAAAACATACCATCCCAATCATCACCCAGAATGCCCTGGAAAGATGCAGTGACCAAGACATTTGGGGAAGATAAAATGGTGACTGTGAGGAAGCAGCAGTCAAAAGGATCTCTGGTGCCACAATCAGCAGCAAAAAACAAAACCCATGAATATGGATAACAAATAAATGAAATGAATGAAGTTTATTAAATGTTACTCTTTTCCAATGCAGAGTGGTTCTTCCTTCAACAAAAATCTAACATTTCTGCTGCTAGAATTGGCCAAAGCTGTCAATTGGCCAATGCTATTTCTTGAAAGGTAAATTAGTCTTGCTCTGCTGACCAGAGAGCTTTTGCCACATAGATCTCTGTGTGACAAGCAAAGGTTTAGTGACAGAGCTTTTAGGTGAGAGAGATCAATGAAAATGGCTTTTTGCCAGCCTCTTGGGTCTATTCCCTTGGGAACACATTCCAAAGATTGCGTTTGATGACATGAGCTCTGGTGAGCAAAAGCTTATGCCACAATACATTTGTTAGTGTTTCAGGTGGCATGGGACTCTGTGCTGTTTTTGCTGCAAAGGTTAGACTCCCACACAATGTGTTAGCAGGCCTCCTCAGTAGACACGTGTGTCACATACACACATTCTAGGAGCCTCATGAAATAAGGGCTTTAGACAGCGGCAAAGGTCATCTCGGCATATTAACCCAGTGACTTACACTCACACAGGTCTTGAGATGGGGAAGCCTATTGCACAGACACAGAATCAAAACACACACATTTAACATTTCAGTAACACAGCAAATTATGCATATCTATTATGGTAGTGGAGATCACTCAGCAACAATAAATATGCATCTATTTGGTTTGGGAGAATTAGCTAATTAATTGTAACTATGACAAAACCAACGCTCTCACGCCATACATGCAAGAAGAAGCAATCACATGAGGCATAAGGGGAGGGGGAGTGAGTTTAATGCTGCTTAGGGAGGCACATTAGTCTGCTCTTTTTATTTCAGCTCACTTTGCAGGCCAGGTGTTGGTCAAGCACAGCTGGGGAGGGAGAACTAGAGGGTGACTTCTAAAACACACAGAGGTAGGAAGCTACAAACAGATTTAAATACACAGTCATATACACACTCTTCCAGAACCACACTCATGACCACGTTGGCCAACTCAGTAAAGGATGCTGCTGAGCAGCAGAGTGGTTAGTATACCAATCTGTCTCAATGTCTCAACACCAGGTGCAGGCCCTCCAAGGCAGAGAGGTCTCCTAATAAGGGAGATAGAATGTCTGTGAACTATGGCAATCACACACACACACACACACACACACACACACACACACACCACAGCCCATTAGTCTGTGTTGATTCTGTGCCAAGGATCTCTTCTGACACCAGTGTTGCATGCCACCCCAATCTCCAAGTGGTGCAAAATTCCAGTGGTTCCGTGTGCTTACCCAGGGTTTGTGTTTGTTTTTGGAAATGAGGCACATTAGAGACTATGAGGCACAGTGGAGACAGTGGTGTCTTTATGATATATGGTTTATTTACACATGTATATAACCTAAGCCTACGATGGAGGGGCTCACAGCATTAACACCCCAAGAGGGTCTTGTTTCTCCCATAGCCTCAGCCTTGGATTGAAACAGAAATCAAACATGGCTCTCAAATGTTGTTCTGACTCTCTCTCCAGCTTGCTGCTTTTCTTCTGGGTCACAGCACGGCAACTCAGCTCTGACTCTGGCATCGGCTTTCTAACTAACTGTGAACTGGGGAGGAGCCCCACCCATTTGCCATCTCACACAGAGCCACCTTTCCTTTGTTTCCCTTAATGGCCCATCCCCTAGGTTACCTAGTCAGACATAGCTGGTTCAGGTCAACACTATCTAGGACCCCCTCCTAAGTTTCAATGATGTTTGCCTGGTCAGTTTCCTCATCCATGATTAAATGACAGATGAGTATAGACCTGTTGTGAACTATCCTGGTATTACACAACTGTACTACCAGACTGGAGGGTGCAGTGGCAGAGCTACTGCATATCTGACAGTTACTGGAAAGGCCTAAAAGGGGAACAGTCCATAAACATCTGTGTCACCTTCTTCCACGATGGTATGCTTTCTCTCCTATCCCCTAACTTCTGCAAGTAACAACCACTGTGACTGGTGCATTTGTACCATGTTCTACTGCTTCCAACTTAGGCACATTCAGGAAGCATTGCATCCACCTTTTGCATCTCAACCCATCTCACCAATCGACTCAAACACACATTGTGTTTTTAAGTTGTACATCACTTTGTTATATTTCCTATGAAAACGTGGTTTATCAGTCTCCACAAACAGACCTGCACACCCCACTCTTATCTGCAGCCAGCCACTGATAATAAAAATAATAAGTTTGCCACTTACAGTATACTATAAAACACACTAGTAGAGATCTACAGTTGGTATCATTCTGTCCACCTCACCGTGCACCTGGAGCAAATGAAATGTCCCCCATCTCAACCAGAGAGGTTCCCCCCACTATTAAATAGCTTCTCACCCCCAATGGTGTTGGATTGTGATAGAATGCAGTTGTTGCAAAAGCCCCATCTCTTATATGGAGTAATTATGCATTCAACCCATTTTTCTGAATTCATCAAGCTTACCTCCTGGGGCCAACAGAAGCTGTATTTATATAGAAGTGTATTTCTATGTAGGTAAATGGTAACACCCTCTCCCTGCATGCTATGGTCCCATTTCTGATCTGTCCTCACAAACCTGCTATTTATCAGTATTTGTACCAATGAAGAGTTGGCTTTAAAATAAATTAAAATTCAAAGTTGTAAAAACATATGTAGTTTGGTCCTTAGAGTCCCAAAACTTCCTAAATGCCCTCTAAACCTGTTTGCCTTCTGTGCACTCTTCATTTTCTTTTGCTGCAATAGACTCACACAACTACCCCTCTGGAAAGTGTAACAAAACTTTTAATGCTGTCCTTATTCCACAGCATTGGCTCACTGTGTTAGTTTGCAGTTCAAAAGCAACAAGTCCTGTGGCACATTTAAAGACTGCAAAATTTATTGTAGCACAACCTTGGGGGGTCTGGGCCCATGAAAGCTTACACCACAATAAATTTGTTAGTCTTTAAGGCATCGCAAAACCCTTTCTCTTCCTTAATGGTTCTTCCTAAGCCAATGAATCTCCTGAGATCCTGCTGGTATTTTTACGGGTCAGAACATTTTTTGTTGGAAAAGTTTTACAAGGCTTTGAGGAGGGAGGATTTACACAGACTAGAAATGTTGTCAGGCCGAGCTTGTGTTTCTGCCATAGAACAGAATTGCCTCTTGGAACTAAAGAAGCCCAGGATCTTGGAACAGAATGGGGAGTGGAAAGACACGGATGAAATGGAGGACTCCTGATTTCATCTCCCTGCTTCTCTTTTCACAAATCATTTAACCTTATTTCAATCTTTCCCCTGACACCAAAAAGTGCAAGTGCAGGAGACTAATTATAAGCTGCTGTGTTCCCTCCCGCCTCCCAGCCCACCCCGTTCAATAGCGACTCCTTATCTCCTGCCATTCTCTGAATGGTGGGGTCTGGCTCCCATCAGAGGATCTGCTGCAAGGAGATACACTATCTCCCCTTATTATCGCAAATTGCAGAGCTCTGCAAAGTCTAATAACACTTGATGACTAATCAGATCTCACTGAAAGTCCATTGGCTTTTGCTCACACCATGAAGGTTGAGCACTGCTGATCCAGTTAGTTATTCACTGAAATGCAAATTCAGTTCCTTTCCTGGTCACTGCACTGATCTCTAGCTTGACCAACATGGGTCATGTGAGCCCCTTCCTCCTTGGCCGCGTTTTTCTGCCTAAGTTTCCCAAGCAAGTCTCATTAATATAGATTGTACCACTCTCCCTCTTGACATTCATTTGTCATGCCTTTTTATCTCTGTTGTACTCTCTGACAGTTTTCTCTCTGTCCCCTCCTGGTGTGTGTGAGTTAGAATGTTAATCTCTGCCAGGCCATCTCTCCCTCCTCGCGTGCACCCTTCTTTCCTTTCTAACCTCAGCAGTTGCCTTGCTCTGGGGAGTCACAAAATGAGGAGGAGGGAGGAGAAACTCAGCTGGGAGAGGCTGGTAACATTGCAGCAAACCACATGTGCCCCGAAAGGTTTGTGGATGGATGGTCATGTATATATGCCATTCACAGGCAGCCAAAGCAGTCCATAGAGAAAAAGAAAGGGATATTGGAACCACGTGGGCTTACAGCCCTGTAAAGTTGGGATTGGGTGCCATTTAATTCATCTCCCTGGCAGCTGTGCATTCAGGCCCTCATCCCTTATCAGCAGCATACCCAGTCACTAACATATGTAGTTTCTGTGTTGGAAGGATCCTTAGGGACCACTGCACAAGCATAATACTGTCTACGATACTGGCTTCAAGTCTCCATTCCTCTCTCACACACGCATCTAGTCTCTTCCCTTTTCCTTCCTTGGAGACTGGAGAGATAAGATATGTTGTTCTTCTGCTCTTAGTGTAGTGGAAGCTACCCTATATGTAGACAAACCTATAGCCCACTTAGTATAGATAAAGACGATCAATACTCATTGGCTATGGCTGTCCAGGATTTCAGAAACGAGTCTTTCCTAGCCCTGAATGACTGAGGCTGCATGTAAGCTATATAGTCATACCTCATGTTACGTCTGCTTCATTTTACGTTCTTTCAGGTTATGTCCCACAGTGACCTGGAAGTACCGAAAAGGGTTACCTCTGGGTTACACCGCTCGCGCATGCGCAGACACGCAAAATGACATAATGCGCAGAAGCGTTGAATCGCAACCCACGTGTGCGCAGATGCGCCACTGAGGGTTGCATTCTTTTCATGTTGCGAACGGGCCTCCAGAACAGATCCCGTTCGCAACCAGAGGTACCACTGTGGCTTTAAAGCATATTTGAAGCACATTTCTCCTCTCAAAGAATTCTGAGCACTGTATTTAACCCTCCTACAGAGTTATAGGTCCCAGCAAACCTTTTGTGGGCTCAAGGCCACAAACAGGTGCACCAGTTGTTGGCAGATATGGTCAAACATTGAGCCCCAAAGGCCACGGAATGCAAGAAGCATAGTCTGTGACATATCTCTGCTAAGCACAAGTCTATATAAGACAAACGTAGCAGCTATTCACAACGTCAGTCAATAATGCAACATTCTTCTTTGCT